AATGGTTGCACAACTAAAAAAAAATGTAATTAAAGTTGCTGAATTATTCGTGAAGAAATTGCTGAATTGGCAGATGCTTTGTTGCGTATACAAGGGGTCTACAAAAATTCATGGAAAACTGGAATTAAAAGATCATTTTTCCATGGACTTTTTATAGGGCCCTGATACTCTCTCAACAACTAAATAAATAAATAAATATAAAGAACAGCCATAGAGACAGGGGAACCAGGAGGGTGATGTCATAGAAGCAACAGGAGTGGTTTGAGGACAGTGTAGCCAGCTGTGTCAAGTATACAGACAGGTTGAAAAAAAGATGAGATTGAGAATCATCCACTGGATCTAGCAACTAAGAGGTCATAGTGATTAATGGGATCCTTGCAAGGGCATTTGTGGGGAAGAGATGAGTTGAAAGCCTGTCTAAAGACAGCTGCAAAGTAAATTTGTGCCGAGATTTCTCTCCTGAGCTTAGATGTCTCCCTGAGCACCCCATCTGCCTGCTTGTGTTTCCACTTGGATATCTCCTGACCATCTCATACCCAAAACTACCTCCTGATCTGCGTTCTCCTAATCTGCCCATTCATCAGTTCTTTTCACCCAAGCAATAGCACCTCCATTCATCCTGATACTTAAGCCAGAAATCTCCAAGTTACTCTAGATCCAATCTATCCACAAGTCCTGTCAATGCTAACTTCAAAATATTATCTGAATTGGCTCCTTATCAGCTCTTGCACCCTAAGCCAAGCCACCATCTTCATGTCACACCTGGACCTCTTCAGTGACCTCCTGAAGACTGTCACAATGGTCTGATTCCCAATTGATTGTGGAAATGGCACAAGACCACGAAGTGTTTTGCTCCATTGTTGCATGGCATTACCCTGAGTAGGGGATTCATTCAATGAAAGGTAACATCAAACATCTTCCAGTTCCTTCCATTTCTGCCACTGCCATTTGTTTTACCATTGTTGGTGGTTGGTAAGTGCCATGAAGTTGATTCTGACTCATAGTGACCCAGTATAGGGTTTTGAGGCATGACTGATGAATTTGAAACCCCGACCTTGTTGTTCAAACCAACCTGAGCTTATCCTACAGCATCACACTAGAAGTCCCATAGCCTTTTTAAAAGTCTTACCATAGACTTCTTAAAAGTTTTTAGTTTTATTACAGTTATAAGGATATAATTTTTAATTGAACGACTTCATCTTTAAAAATACGATTTTTTTTCAAATGGGTAGATAACATTATGAGCATAATTAATGTCACTGACGTGAACATGTAGAATTGTTGAATTGGCAAATATTTTGTAATGTCTACTTTTACCACAATTTTTGAAAAGTTTAAAAAATACATTGTAAAATACAAAAAGTATAGGGGCATGGTGGCTCTGTAGAATAAACACTGGACTACAAACCTACCACAAGGTCAGTGGTTTGAGCTCATCATTGTCTCCACAGGAGAAAGATGAGGTGTTCTGCTCCCGCAAAACTCTACAGCCTTGGAAATCCTATGCAGGGTCACCGTGAGTCAGGATTGACTCAACGGTATGTAACAGTAACAAATGAAAAAAAGAAAAATGCATAAAAAGTATATATGTTTTTATTTTTAAAAAATTGAAATAGGCCTTTAATACAAATCAATAGTGCCCTACTCTGCTTTTCCCCACCTACCCTCATTTCCACTTTCAGTTCTTTTAAATGATTCCTTCTACAATTTATCTCCACAATATTTCTTTTTTTTTTTTTTTTAAGGTTTTTATTGTGGATTGAGTGAAAGTTTTCAGGGCACATCATCGGTTTCACATTCAAACATTCATATACCTTGTTTCATTACATTGATTATAATCCCCTCCACATACCATCAGTTAACAGAGTTTCTCTATATCCTCTTTAGCTTTTTGGGGGGTGGAAAACTTTGCCTTTTTGGAATTTACAGTCTCGGCTTTTAGGGAAGGTTTTTACATTTATCTGTGGGTATCCAGGGCTCATGTATGGAATTACTAACCAGCATAACTGAATAATCAGAAAAGGGACATTTTGCTATGTCTGCTAGGTGGCTAAAGTCTGATCCTCAGAGCCTATGGTTTGGACGGTCAGCAACGCTTGGGCCCACGGGGACTTGAACGCCTGACCGGGTCTGCATGGTCTGCATCAGATTCCCCCTTATTTATTATTTGTTTAAGGGACGCTGCCTGTCTTAGGCGGTCAGTGTGAATTCCTCAGTCTTACCTGTCATCGAAACTCATTGCAGCATGGCAATGGCTCTGTCTTAGGTTGCCGAGGTTCCATGTGATCCTTGCCCGTCTCTGGCCACACGTCCACCATAAACAGACACCATCCGAAGAAGGCAGGGAGGAAGGAGACCAGCTGGGGAACCCACACACAAGATGTTGCCAGACCTCCACCTGCTCTAAGACGACCAAGCAGGATCACTATGCTGGGGTTCAACCAAGTTCACAGGGGAACTTAATCTCTGGCCGAGGTAGCAAATTAGTAGCCACACAGTTCTCAACTTGAGAATTACTTATATCAGAAGTTTGAGCATGTCCACAATATTTCTTGATTTATCACTTTAATATTTTGCTTGAGTTCCTATTGTGTAAAATGAGGATTTAGAACTTGTATCACTCAACAGTTTCTCTGTTCCATCTCCCATATATAACAATTTCTAGTTAAATCCCTATTCAGTATTTATATTATGGCAATGTAAATATTGTTCAGTGCTAAGCCAATAAATGTATTCATGATTACATTTTATTCCTTATATATTCCTTAATTTTTCCTGAAGTATCTGCTTCATTTTTTTCCATTTACTTTTGCTTTCCATGTACCTATCATTTATTCTTCCCAAACTATCCAAAGGAGTCCTGGACTGCTAACAGCTGATCCTTTGAAACCCTATATAGGTTGGCTATGAATCGGAACTGACTGAATAGCACCTAACAACATCACTTATTCTTCCCAAACTATCCAGTAGATTGGAATCACCTTTAACTACCCCATCCTAAACAAGTCTTGCTCTTGATCCTTTGGACTATCTCTTATAACAATGCTGTTCCATTTCCCTGTGGGGCCTCTCTTTTCTCACCTGTACACTGCTATTTCAGCAGATTCAATCCATCACACATGTTATCAAGAAGGCCTAGGCCCTGAAGGGCATCATGTTTGGTAGAGAGTCAGTAAAAAAGATGACGACCCTCAGTGAGATGAAGTAACACAGTGGTTGCAATCATGGATTCAAATATACCAAGGATTGTGAGGATGGTGTCGACAACTCAGTGTTTTATTCTGTTGTTTATAGGGTTGCTAAGATTTGAAACTGACTCAACAGTTCCCAACAAAAGTCCCATAAGTGCAGGCAGTAGAGATTCAGCAGTGGAATTGCCTCCTTCGATGCCAAACACCTGGGTTTGATTCTCAGCCAATGTCCCTCAAGCAGAGTCACTACCCTGCTGTTAGTGTAGGCTTGCATGCACTGTAATGCTTAACAGGTTTCAGTGAAGCATCCAGACTGAGAGACTAGGAAAAAAGGTCTGGAGATCTACTTCTGAAAACCAGCCAGTGAAAATCCTATTAATCACAATTGTCAGATCCTGTGTCTATGACCACAAGCCAGAGGTGACTCCACAGCACTTAGCACCATCCTATGAGTACAGAGAAAAAGGAAGCACAAATGAGACATTGTCATCTACTTCAACCAGTTTCCCTGCCTTCAGTTTTACTCTTATCTGACTCAACCTACAGATTAAGACAAAGATATTTACTACAATCTTTCAAAGCATGTGAAACCCTGGTCCCCTCCATAGACTTTCTAGGGATTCCCTGTCACCTACAACAGAGGTTTTCATCTGACTGTGTATCAGAATCACCAGTGCACCTTTCTAAAACTTCCACCCCAGGACAACTGAATCAGTTCTCCAGAAGTAGAACTGAAAATTAAAAACTTTTTTTTTTTTTTTTTAAACTAATAGCTTTAATATGTTGTTGCTGTTGTTAAATGCTGTCAAGTTGATTCCATAGCAACCCTGTACAGGGTTTCTGAGGCTGTAAAACTTTACGGGAGCAGAAAGCCTCATTGTTCTCCCGTGGAACAGCTGGTAGTTTCAAACTGCTGACCAGGAGGTTAGCAGCCCGATTTGTAACCACTACGCTACCAGAGCTCCTTAGAAATCTCTGGTGGGCTCCTGCAATTCAAGTCCCCTCCATAAACAATCTTGCAGTTAGCATGGGACAGGGCAGTGTTTTGTTCCATTGTGCTTGGGGTGGCTGAGTCAAGGGTTGACTTGACAGCAGCTCACAATTAGCTTTAGTATTGATCCCAACTGTCATCCAGTGAGTTGCGTGGAGTTTATTCCAACGTATGGCAGTCTCATATGTGCAGAGTAGAACTGCCCATAGGGTTTTCAGTGCTGTAACCTTTCAAAAGCAGGTACCCAAGCCTTGCTTCCTAGGTGCCGCTGGGTAGGTTTAAACAGCCAACCTTTCCATTAGTCCAACATTTAGCCATTTGTACCACTCAGGGACACATACTGTCATTGTCCATATGAGCAATCTCATGGATGCCCACCTCTCTTACCAGTCCAGGACAGTCAGGGAGTAAGTAGGAACTCAATAAACTTATGGAAAGACAGGACTGAAATTCACTAGTAATCATCAAATTCTAGTGGGCATCAGAACAACATGAACTTATTAAAATACAGATTCCTAGGCCCAGAGGAATGTTTTAGTAGAAACCGTCATTACAAATATTCCTTACGGTACAAACACTCACCAGTTTCAGAATCTCACAACTTAAAGTGAACACAATCCCCAAACCCAAGGCTCCTGGATTCAGTGTGAGGAAACAGAAGGAGTTCAGAAGTTGACAATCCTTACCACTTCTCTTCTAAGAGGTTAAATGTAAAAAAGACTCAAGAGTTCTTTATTTTGCCTCTCTTTTAATCTCCTCCCTGCTCCAACTCTCAAAAAATCAGTCAGGAATTAAATGAATTAAAAATACAAGGGAGCTCAAAGAGCCAAGGCAAGCCAGCCCAAAAGGAGCAAGCTCCCTCCCACAGGGGCCAAACGCTGGATGCTGGGGTCTCCACTCAAAGCTTGGTAGTAAAAGCTGGTGCAGAATAAGGTGGTCCCCGAGGTGAGCAGTAATCCAGCCTGAAGGAAACACAGTGTTGTTATACAGCCTAGTAAGAACAGGGAGGTCTGCCAGATGGGAATGGGGGTGGGGTGGGGATGGTTAGCTAGGGTTGGGGGTGAATTACCCAGAGGGGTTTTCTGCAATGGGGTACCGCTAACAGAGCCAGGCTGTGTAAGAAGTGGTGTTTGTTGGTCTTGTCAAAAAGCTATGAAAAAGGAGAAATTGTGTGTGGGTGGATGGGTGAATTCCATATCAATACAGGCGCCTGAAATATACTACATCTGAGACAACAGTATGTTCGTGTACACACACACACACACACACACACACACCACCCCACCCCTCATGCAATACACTACACCTCAGACAACAGTACGTACGTGTACACACACACACCCCACCCCTCATGCTTGTTCCTATGCTTCAAGCCTGCAATTCTTGCAGTTGGGAGAAAGACCTAGGCTCTGTGCCCTCTCCCCGCCCGCACACTCTTCCCTCAAGGGCCCCAGACTTCGTGACATCTTGTAGACCTGCAAGTTGTAGACAGGGCAGTTACTTCACCTCCTTTCCGTAAGCATCCGGGAACTGGGCGCCTGTGAAGAGAGGCAAAGATTAGGAGGAAGAACCCCTCTATCCTAGCCCGTTTGGGCCACCCCCTCTCCTGGGGGGAACCCAGGTGAGTATTAAAAGGGAGTCCCCAAGAGGCTTCTGATTGTTGGAAACATGCTTCGGGCAGTTCTGTAAACCACCTGGACCGGGTTGGGGGACTTTTAAAAGGTTTAACGCTCTGGTATACGAGAGATCGGAAATTTCCGGTAGGCTCCACCCCTGCACCAGACCCCAAAGTTTGCTCCAGGGGTGCCCACAATCCCAGCTCCAGTCCCTGTCCCCTAACCATGAGCCCCGTAGGAGGCCAAGGCTAAGGCCCCGGCTCCAGATAAGGCGCCCAGGCGCCTAAAAGGAGCCCCTGATCCGGCCATTACTGTAGTTGGTCACGAGCCAGATGAACACCTCCCAGGCCACCCAAGACGCCAGCCAATCCCGACCGCCCATGCAAATAAGGTACATATGTGCCCAATCCAAACCATGTTCATTTCAGTGTCCAGGGTACTAGCGCCTTTGTAAAACCGCTACTGAGTGGCGAAGATGACTGGCGGGCGGAGAAACCAGAACCAATTAAGAGCTGAGTAGAGGAGCAGAGGAGGGCGGGTTGAGGGCCGGACTAGAGGATTTACGTCATGGATTGGCCCACTTTCTAAGTTGGATCGCCTCTTATAACTACCCCCCCACACACCTCGGGACAATTTCCAAAGATCCAGGTCCCCACGCAAAGTTCCGCCTCTTTCCCCACAGGCTCCTCCTGTTCAGATTTAAACCAGGCCCACTACCAAAAAGAGGCGGCCCACGGAAACCCAAACCCCACCCATCGCCGTTATGCTCCGCCTACTTCACCTCATAGCTCCTCCTCTTAGCCAAAAGGCTCCTCCTTCTTCATATGTTGTCCCACCCCCTATCGTTCACCCCTTCTCCCCCCAGGCCACCAGGACCCCAGAGGGTGGGAGATCTGGGGGAGGATGTCTTCATTATGTCCATCAGTCCGTCTGTCCATTCCCGCCCCCTTCCTCCGCCTCCAGCCCCCCACACTTCAGAGGGCGGGCGGGCCAACTGGTGAAAGCGAGGGGTGTGCGCCGCTCTCTCGGCAGGGGGCGGGGGAGGCGGCCGCACGGTGACGCGCGGGGCTGCTGCGGCTGCTCCGCCGGCGGATCATCACTCTGGGGCTGGGATGGACGCGGGGCGGGCGGGCCCTGGCACACGGAGCCAGGAGTCCAGGCCTCCCGGTTACTGAGCATCCCCTGAAGCCTCCCCTCGTCCCCTCCTTTCCTCCTAGAAGCCTTTCAAACCCCCGCCCCGAGGCTCCCGACTCGGCTCCCGCCTTCCTCTGACTCCCCGGACCTCCCCCTCCCTCCCGCCCTCGGGATCGACTGGATCCCTCCCCCTCCCCGAGGATTCCGGCTGGATCCCTGCCCCTGCACTACGGATTCTGCGCTGCTGGGCCCCTGGCCCCTGGGGATTGCTGTGGATTCCTCCTCCCACACCCGATTGCTTAGGATCCTCCGCTTGGACCGCCTTTGGGTCCCTCGAAGCCTACCCACCGAGCCAGTGGATCCCTGATCTAGTCCTGACCCGTTGCCCCCTCCTCATTCGGTTGTCCTCACTGCCAGGTTCCCTGTACCTGGGCTCCCTCTGACCTATCCCCTATCTTCCCTTTCCCCGGGGATCGACTGGATCCCGGCCCCGCCCCCCCGGGGCTGGGGCGATCCCCCTCCCCCGCCAAGTGAGGCGCTGCGGGCGGGGGCTGGGCCTGCGGGGCCGCGGGGGCTCAGAGGCCTCCGCCCCCCTCCAGAAGCCCAGCCGCCCCCCTCTCCTCGGAACCCTGGATGGAAGCACCACGGCCCCGGGGCTGAGCCAGGTAGGAGCTAAGCCGGGCCTGTTAGAGGGGGCTGCGTGGTGGTCCGTCGGGGTCTCCCTGTCTTCCTATCTCTCCCTGCGCCTGGTTTCCCCCAGCCTTCTCTGTCTGCGTGTCACCGCCTAGGGATGCTCTCGCCGTGTCTCTGCGTCTCGGTCTCTTTGTCTCTGCCTCTCTTCAGTCCATGAATGATCCTTTGAATGGGCCCACAGACCCCGTGTGTTCCCATCTCCCCCTCCCCCTCCTTCTCCCCTTCCCGGCCAAGCCATTTTCCCCACTGCAGGAAGGGGGGGTGCTGCGGCCTGAGCCCCTGTCCCTCAACTCTTCCAGGCTGGGGGAGTAAGGCCTGGGCAGGAATGGAGAGAGCAAGACAGAGGGATGGGGAGGAGGAGGGGAAGGAAGCAAGATGTGGCAGACAGAGAAGGGGAGAGGAGAGAAAATGGGGGAGAGAGATAGGGAAAGAGAAGAGAGTGAAGGGACTTGAGGGAGAAATTTGGGGGAGGAATTTGGAGGAAAGAGAAAGATAAGAAACACCAAGGAGAGAAATGTGGAAACGAGAAATGAAAAAAAAGACTGAGGGGCAAAAGACTGAAGGCAAGAGCTGGAGCAAACTGGAAGAGGCCCAGGAAAGATGCTCTGAGGGAGCGCTGTGGAGAGAAGAGAGATGGGGGGCTGGGGGGAGAAGGCAGGGGGTACTCCATTGAGAAGGAAGCTGTGAGCAGAGAGAGATGTTGGTGGGGAGGAGGCCAACGGCCCAAAGTACCTATCTGAGGGGGCTGACTAGCTGATAGTGTTGGGGGGAGGGGGCGGCAAGACTGTGGAAGCCAAGTTCAGTCAGTCAGGGTAAGAGGAAACCCTAGGAGAGTCAGCCCAAGCCCCTTCCAGGTGACTGGGGTACAGGAGCTCCAGAGGACCTGAAGAGGGGGAGGGCATGGCTGGGTGTGTATGGCAAGGATTCCTGTGTCCTCATCTCTGGAATAAATTGACACCTGCAGAGAGCCACCCGTGGACTGGTGCCTGGCTCCGAAAACCCCGCGTCAGCAAACAGCTCTGGCGGCTGGGGGGTGGGGTGGGGGGAGGACAAGGGGACTTGTAAAATTACCTGGGTATCTGCCCCTTTGGCCTAATCTTTTCCCAGACCCTGCTGCCCTGAACACCCAGGCATCAGAGCAGCAACTGTGAGGGGCTGTCAAGGGGAAGGGGAGGTGAGAGGATTCAATGGAATGAGAAGGAAGCCAAGGTTTACCCCCAGGATGTGGGTCAGATGTTGGGCAGGGAAGAAGAGGTGTCTGGGGTCCAAAGCTGTTCAAGAGTGTGGAAGGGAGCTAGTTGATGGGCTCATCTTAAGCCTCCCTGCAGCTGATTTCAGCACCTCTTATCCCCAGTCAGAGGCTTGGTCACTAAGGCCAACCTCTGATTGGCCAACAAGAAAGGCAAGAGGTGAGTCTTTTAGGGTCCTCTAGGTCCTCAGTCTTCCCCACATATATACTTCTACCTTGACTCTGAGGTTATGGAAACTCTAGTTTTCTGACCCACTCCGCTGTCCTCCCTCTTATGCCCTCAATGGACCCCAGTCTCAAGCTAACCCCTTTCCCTCTGCCTCCAGACCTCCCCCCTTTCCAGGGTTAAAGCTGCTGCCCGTTGCCGAGGTAACATTGCGGGGCAGCATCCCCGTCGCTCAGCAACGGGCTGCAGGATCACACATCTGTCCCTGAATTTGCCCCTTCAGCAACCCCTCCCAACTCTAGACCCTGTTTCAAGACATGCCAACTTCTGATATAAAACATGAAGAGGGTTTGGAGAGAAAGAGGACTTGGGGCCACACAGATACTTAGGGAATGCAATATTGAAGGGAGGAGAAGGTGCTGGGTTTGTGCAATCCCAAGTAAGACCGGAGCCTGGCCTGAGGTGGGGGTTCAGCGCCAAGAAATTACAGCTCAAGAGTAATTAACACGTATAAACAAACCCGCCACTTCCTGCTAATTAATGACTTGGTATTTTTATTTTCTCATCCTTGTCTATCTCATTTCCTCCTAGGGAGGTGGGGAACTGGGACTCCTGAGTTCCTAAGGAGAGGCCGCTAGGGAGGGATAAAGGGTCTGAAATGGGGTGTGCTGGTCATGGGGAACAGACCCACTTTCTCCCCAGGATGGTTTCCACATCCTGACCCCACCCCAAGTCTCTGACTTCTACCTAAGTCCCTGCTGGGGAGAGGGAGAGCTTGAGGGGGTGGGATGGACTAGGTCCCCAGGGACTGGGGGTGGAAGGAACCTGGTGGACTTGGTCTGAATTCCAAGTCACTAACCACTTGTCTCTTCTGTTTCCCCATTCCTTTCTGTCCTCCCCGTCCAATCCCCCTACCCTTCTTCCACCTTCCCTCCGTATTTTTCTGTCTGTCTGTCTTTTTGCACACCCTGACCCTGCTCCTCATCCTCCCGAAGGTCGGGCTTGCCTTTCCCTTCTTCCACCTTCTCCCCCTTCCCCATCCCTTGCCCCCTCCATGGAGAGGAACAGACCCCTTCTCCGTCCAGTCTAACCCCGGTCTCCCTACACCCTTTTCCCTTCTTCCCCCCACCCCCTCCTCCCTCCTGGGGCGAGGGGGACCTCCCTCCCTCTCCCCCCCCTTCTCTCTCTCTCCGAGGGGGGGGGTCCCGGGGAGGGAGGGGGGGTCCCCCAATCAGCATGTGGCTCCTGGCGCTGTGTCTGGTGGGGCTGGCGGGGGCTCAACGCGGGGGAGGGGGTCCTGGCAGCAGCGGCCCAGGCCTGGGCCTTGGCAGCCTTGGGGAGGAGCGCTTCCCTGTGGTGAACACTGCCTACGGGCGAGTGCGCGGTATGCGGCGCGAACTCAACAACGAGATCCTGGGCCCCGTCGTGCAGTTCTTGGGCGTGCCCTATGCCACACCACCCTTGGGCGCCCGCCGCTTCCAGCCGCCTGAGGCACCCGCCTCGTGGCCCGGCGTGCGCAACGCCACCACCCTGCCGCCCGCCTGCCCGCAGAACCTACACGGGGCACTGCCCGCCATCATGCTACCTGTGTGGTTTACGGATAACTTGGAGGCGGCCGCCACCTACGTGCAGAACCAGAGCGAGGACTGCCTGTACCTCAACCTCTACGTGCCCACCGAGGATGGTAAGGGCGCAGGCACCTGTCCGGGTACCCCGTGGACACAGCCCACAAACGCACACGCAAATCCTCAGGCACTGGCATAGACCCCTGCCCGGCAATGTGTTCCTGAAGCCTCAGCGTGTCTTCCTTCCGAGGATGGTAAGGGTATCTGCCAGGCAGTCCCAGGAACCATGGCACAAACAGCCACCATGGAAGTTGTTTGTGTATACAAAGAGCCAATGGTAAGGGAAGCAGACATTAGACTAGGCTTCCTCCACTACCAAAAAAGGTACACACAGACCCAGCCACTTAATCTTAGTGTGATCACTAAGGGTGATTAAATGATGGAGACATCAGTTACCTGTCCAGACACCCATTCCAATTCTACACACAGAATATTCACTTTAGCTACATCTGTACCTCAAGGTCAATCAATGTAAACTCCTTACCCCAGGCCAGCAAAGATGGACTTCCATCTACTCCATCTCCTCCAGAGACTCTCACCTGAGTTGAGTGCTCTTGGCAGTGGTATACATGGGTTCCCTCTTCTCTATGAGGCTCTGACCCCTATATACCCTTGTATGCCCCTGAAGGTTCAGGGCCCTTTTACTCATCAGGCCCACCCATCCCCAGCAAAACACCTTCACTGAGGCTCCTAAACCAGCTATTCTTGTCAGTGAGCACTCCGGTTCACTACAGAATTACAGAGTCTGCACTACACCCCCTTGCCCAGCTTCAGCACTCCCTGATTCATCAGAATATCCTTAGCTATCTTCAACAGAGATTATTCACAGAAGTCCAGTCACCCCACCAGATCATCTTCACAAGTGTCATCACTCCAAAACACCCCAACACACACACACTCAGCACCCCTACAACAGATACTCAAGTCTTTAAGGCTCAGTTAGTCAGCATTCAGATCATGTAATCAACAAATTGACCATGTGCTCCAGCACCTCACCTATAACAATTCCTAATACCTTTACATAGCACACACCACAATATAGCTCTGATATTGTGTACCCCATCACCCAAACATATCTGTGTTCACAAACACTTCCGGATGTAGATCATGTACTCTGATAATACATACCTAAGCCCCAATAACCCTACACCTTGACTATATGGTTCACTACTCCACGCATACCACCATAGTCCCAACAGTCTCAAAAATTCTCAAACACTGTTCACCCTACTTAGAGTTTATCGGCACCATCCCTTGGGTGAGAGTCTTGATATGGCACTGAGGGTTAATGTGCTGGACTGCAAAGTCGGTTTGAGCCACAGTTCAAGGTCAGCAGTTCAAGCTCACCAGTTGCTCTTCAGAAACCCTATACAGGGTCGCTATGAGTCGGAACTGACTTGATATTTAACAACAACAACAATACTTTGGTGACAAATACACTCTCCACAAATCAAGTACTCTGATCATACCAATCATATAATACCTCATGCACCTCATCATACATCCATACCAAGACCTCCCATACAGATTACCTACCCTATAGTCTTCATACCAGTCATGAACTCTAACACCTAACTTTCCCTCCCCATATAAACCATATCTCCTAACAATCCGTAGACATAATGCACAGAAACACTATCTACTTCAATCCCATCCCAATTTCAAGCAGCCTACACACCATACACCCATTATCCGAATACACGTCACACATTTCCCCCAATGCCCTAATACCCTCTGCCTAAGAACCACTCCCTCTACATTCCCATCTCCTATCATGAGCTACCTAGCTCAGTATTCTCCCACCTGTGAATCACTGACCGCAATACTTCTGTATTGTCCATCTCAACATTCCACACTGCGGTCTCTCTACTCCCACACCTTCACCTAGGCTGTCTACTCCAACATCTTCCTAATGTAGACTATTTTTATTCCTGCCCCCCCAACCCATGTGAAACGTCCACTCAACACTTCCCACTAATGGACTGTCCACCCCCAATACCTCCATACAGATTATCTACCCTCATGCCACCCATTCGTACACCTTCTGTATTTTTAACTATTGCTTATGACAGACCTGCTTGGGGCCTGACACGTTCAGGTGATCTCACTGAATCTTCACACCAGCTCTGGGAAGAAGAGGTTGACTCAGGCAGACACACAAATACAAACACACACCCTTAACATTCTCACAGACCATGCATGCCCTGCTGACTTCATTCCCATCCCCATCTGTTCACAAAGAATAGTCTAGTCCCTGTTGCCATTGGGCTTCTGTGGGGGTCCTGATTGGCAGGAGGAAAAAAGCTTCCAGAGGCTGACCTGGATCTTACTGACCCACCCACCCCTATGCCTTTGAGGAGAAGCCCATCAGCTTGGGGAAACCACCTCAGGCCCCTGGGTACCAGCTATCCCCCTGACCAATCCTGCCCCACCCCCACTGTCCACCCCACAAATTTGGAAAAAAGCCTAGAGCCAATCTCTGGGTCCAGTGCGAGGCCTTACCTGACTGTGAACACTCTTTCTGCCTCCTGGCACCTTATGTGTCTGGTTAGCTCAGGGCATTGTGTTTCCTATTCTCTGTTTGAGGACTGAAGCCCGAATGTGGAAGGGGGCTTAACAGTAGAGTGTGGATGGGGTGGAAGGGGGTTGTCCTTACCGGGAAGTTCACTGTTTGTGGGTGAGGAGTGCAGGCCTGGGTAAGGAATGAGGTTGGGGGAGTGCAGAGGGGTAAGGAGGGATGAGGTGGAGTGGAGGGCAAGACCTGATGACCCCTTTCCCTGCTTTACCCCACCTTGGGGAGATGGGGTGAGAAGCCAGGCCTGTGAGTGTGTATGGAAGAGACATGCAGCTGGTGAGAGGCTGGGTAGGTGGGCAGGCAGCCCTAGCTGACCTACTCGTAGCCCTCCAGTGGGGAACTGAGGGCTTCCAGGGGCTATGAGGGGTGGGGCAAGCTGCCCCACAACCCCATTCTGTCCTCTGCCCTTCAGAGTGGCCTAAAGCAGACTCCTTTCTGCTTTTACCCTTCCTCTCTGCAGCCTGGGGAGAGGGCCTATGTGAGAGGTGGCATGGGGCTGGCCTTGATCTCCCTGTGGGCTCCCATTTCCTTCCCCCCACCTCTAACATCGTTTCATTTCCAGCAATTAGCAAACACATGGACAAGCCAAATCCTTTCCAGTCAAGTCACTGTGTCTTAAGACAGGTCACTCAGGCACCCCAACCCCAAAACCAGCCTTTTCTTTGGGGCATGACTTTTTCCGGGGAGGGGAACAAAATTGGGTTATAGAAACGTTTTTCTCTTTTCTTGGTTTCTTTTTCTTGCAAACAAATTTTGCTTTTTTGGCTTATTTTTTCTGCCCCCACCTTCCCCTTTTCTGCTTTCTCTCCTCCCCTCCCCATCCACCACCTCCCCCGACCCCATCTTTCCCCACAAAATTGTCCTTTTTTCTCTGTTTTGTGTTCCCGGTCTTAGGTCCGCTCACAAAAAAACGTGACGAGGCGACGCTCAATCCGCCAGACACAGGTAGATTTAAAAATCCCGCGGCTGCATGTGGTTGCTGATAAAAGGACGCTCACGGCCCCGCCCCTAACTAAATGTCCCTACAGCCCTCAAGGCCCCTCAGTCGTTCTCCCAACTAAAAAACGAAAAAGAAAAGAAAAGAAAAATTTTTAACAATTGGAAAAAAGAATTCTGAAAACTTCAAACAAAATTTGAACAGTGTTGTACACACTAGAAAACCTGCAAGAAAAGCGAAACATGGTGAAATTGAGGTGAAAAAATTAATTGAATTGTCAGGGAAAAAGAAAACAAAGAATTGGATAAAATGTTTACAGTTTGAAAGAAATATGGAGTATTTCAAACCTGGAGATAATATAATTTTCAAAAAGCAATTTTAATTTGGAGCAAAACAACAACATTTGAAACAAAATTTAAACGTTGGCAAATGGATGACACAATTGAAGCATCAGAAACCTGCTCTCATTTCCAAAAGCCTGTCAGATGCAGAAAGCGCAAAACGTTTGAAGCAAATTTAAAGAATTTGGAAATTTTTGAAAGCAGGGCCCAATATCTTAAAGTTTCACCACAAAATTTTGAAAAAAAAAAAAAATGCAAAGAACTTTTTTCTTTTTTTCTTTTTTTCCAAAATGGATTTTTTTGTTTTTTCTTTTCTTGTTGAATCTGCCCCGAGAGCTTCTTGCTTTTTGGTTGTTGTTTTTTCTTTCTTTCTTCTTTCTTGATCCTGTTTTTTGTTGTTGGTTTTGAATTCTTGTTGCCCTAGCTTCCCTCCCTGCTCCTTCCCCTTCTGACTCCCCCTCCCCAACACTGGGAGCCCTGGTGGAGGTGCTGGGTGGGGAGAAGGGGTAAGAACCAACTGAGAACTCTTAGGATAGGACCTGAAAGGACGTTTCAGCTTGAAATTGCTAGAAGGACACTTGAGAGTCAGGAACAAAGGGAAGAAGTAGGATTTGGGAAGGACACTGAGGGTGCTATCCTAGACACTCTCCTACATGGTCTGTCCAGAGGAAAGAGATAGCCAAGAAGGTCATAGTAGGGAAGGTAGAGTAGGGAGGGGGAAGCGTTAAGGGGAGTGTCTTAGTGACCTCTCCTAGCTGGCCTGGCAGGGAGAACATTTCTAGCCTAATGAGGGAGGTCAGCAGAGATGTTGGCGAATCAGTTGTGGACACCCATATCTGGCTTTTGTTGGCAGAGGACACGAGCTAATCAGATATTGCAGGTGTCAAGGAAGAGGAGGGCCCTTTGGATCAGAAATGACCCAGCCCTGGCACTGTGGCTGAATCATGGGGGACCTGCAGGGAAGGGTACTATAGTCTTGAAGAAACTCAGGCGTCCAGCCTCTTCTGATGAGCCAAGTGTCAGTAGTGCCTACTACCTATGACTGTGATTATGGGGTCCTTTTGAAAATGGCAAGAGAGAGGGACCTAGGGCAGAACTCAGGACTCAGGCCAGTCTGTGGGGGTCCAAGACCAGAGAGCTACACCCTGGCTTCATTAAGCAGGCGCTCTCCCACCCTGCCTCCTCCTACCACATTAATTAGGCTGGGGTTGCCATGGTAACTGGGGAGGTGACCTAGAAAGGAATTAGGGCGGGGAGGAGACCAAGCCCCCAGGGACCCTAGGGCCTGGCACCCCCTCACCCACAGACCAATGTACCACATGATGCTGAGGCCCAAGGCAGGAGTCCTGAGGAAACACCAGGAGCCTCCAGCATCTCCAGTTCTAGTTCCAGCCTCTGAGCAGGAGGGAGATATGTGTGTGTGTGTGAGGAGGGGGTTCCCAGGTCCTAGTGGATACCCTGAGGAGGTCCACACCCCACTCCAACCCCACCTCTTTTGGGCTGCTTGGAAGTTCTGTCCAGCATTTGGAGAAATGCTGAAGCAGGCTAGCATGGGTGGGAAGGGAACTTCTTGTCAGGGCTAGCTGGGAAAGGAGGGAGGGGAATCCGGTCTTGCCCCCCAGGGATAGAAGTGACATATTCCCTGAGCTTCTGGCTGCTCCTTGCAGGCCTGGAAGCTGAACATTGCTGCTTCGGTCTGACTGTGTCCCTGTCCCTCACCTCCTGGCCTACCCACCCGCCCCCTCCCTACGCAGATATCCGGGACTCAGGGAAGAAGCCTGTGATGCTGTTTCTACATGGCGGCTCCTACATGGAGGGCACTGGGAACATGTTTGATGGCTCCGTCCTGGCCGCCTATGGCAATGTCATCGTAGCCACACTCAACTACAGGCTTGGGGTGCTCGGTGAGGGTGGGCAGCCAACTCTGGGTGGGTGGGGGGAGCCTGGGGAGGCGGGCCTGGTGGGCAAGGTTCCTCCAAATATTTCAAAATAGGTTCTGGGCTAGACTGAAATGTCCAGAAAGGGGGCCAGGGTAATAAGACACCAACCCCCCCAGGGACCCTCCTGTCTTCCTCTACCTACAGGTTTTCTCAGCACTGGGGACCAGGCAGCAAAAGGCAACTACGGGCTGCTGGATCAAATCCAGGCTCTGCGCTGGCTCAGTGAGAACATTGCCCACTTTGGGGGTGACCCTGAGCGAATCACCATCTTTGGGTCTGGGGCAGGGGCCTCCTGTGTCAACCTTCTGATCCTCTCCCACCATTCAGAAGGTACCAGCAACTTCCCCACTCTGTCCCTCCCTTTCCCCTTTCCATATCCCTGATCCTTCCAGGCCCCCTACCCCATCTCCTTTTGGCTGACACTCAAAACCCAGTCTGAGGCCTCTCTGTCCTGCCAGGACTTTTCCAGAAGGCCATCGCCCAGAGCGGAACTGCTATCTCCAGCTGGTCAGTCAACTACCAGCCGCTCAAGTATACGCGGCTGCTGGCGGCCAAGGTTGGCTGTGATCGGGAGGACAGCACCGAAGCTGTGGAGTGTCTGCGACGGAAGCCTTCCCGAGAGCTGGTGGATCAGGATGTGCAGCCCGCTCGGTATGGGGGTGGGTGAGGGCCTGGTCCAGGCCATCACTCTCTTTGCTGGTTCCAAGGAGGTTGAGGTGAGAGGTGCTCACAGACATCCCATTTGGCAAGGAGAGGTGGGCTTCAGGCCCCTCTAGTGCCTGAGTTTCTTGGAAACCTTCCCTAAATGGAGGTGCCTAAATAGAGCAAGTGTCTGTAAGGTGCCTTGAAGGGCTGCGGGGAAGACTTTCCAGAGAGGCCAAGCCTCCCGAAGGATCCACAGGTGTTTCTCAAGTCGGGAAAAGGATCTTCTAGGCAAGGGACAATCCTAAATAGGACCTCAACAGGCTGTGGCCTGGAGAGGAGATTAGGGAGCAGCTGATGACACCATGACCCCCTTCTCCCTAGCTACCACATTGCCTTTGGACCCGTGGTGGATGGTGATGTCGTCCCAGATGACCCTGAGATCCTCATGCAGCAGGGAGAATTTCTCAACTACGACATGCTCATCGGTGTCAACCAGGGTGAGGGCCTCAAATTCGTGGAGGACTCTGCAGAGAGTGAGGACGGTGTGTCTGCCAGCGCCTTTGACTTCACTGTCTCTAACTTTGTGGACAACCTGTATGGTTACCCTGAGGGCAAGGATGTGCTTCGGGAGACCATCAAGTTCATGTACACAGACTGGGCTGACAGGGACAATGGCGAGATGCGGCGGAAAACCCTACTGGCACTCTTTACTGACCACCAGTGGGTGGCACCAGCGGTGGCCACCGCCAAGCTGCACGCTGACTACCAGTCCCCTGTCTACTTTTACACCTTCTACCACCACTGCCAGGCTGAGGGCCGGCCCGAGTGGGCAGACGCGGCACATGGGGATGAGCTGCCGTATGTCTTCGGTGTACCCATGGTGGGTGCCACTGACCTCTTCCCCTGCAACTTCTCCAAGAATGATGTCATGCTCAGTGCTGTGGTCATGACCTACTGGACCAACTTTGCCAAGACTGGGTGAGGGCCCCAAGGGTGGGTGGGGCACCCTACAGGCAAAGGCACACCCTCTCTCCTCATAGGGCCATGTCTTCCCCCATTAAAGCATTCTCTCTTGCCTTCCCTCCTGGCTTGCTCAGCTCAGACACCTCTTTGTGCCAAGCGCTGTGCTGAGTGTTGGATATTTGCAGATCCATATCCTCTCTGGAGTAGGCTCACTCTGTGGCTATGCTTGGTGTCTGCCTCTCCTTCCCTTCCTTAACTTCTTTCCTCTCTTAGTGCCTCTGCCTGACCACTTGGGGGGTGTGGCTAGATATGTGGAAGAGTTTGTGACTGTCTGTTTATTTCTGTCTAAATGTTTGTCTCTCTTGAAATCTGCTCTCTTTCTCTCTGCCTTCTTTCAACTGTTTACTTTTTGCTACCTTTGCATACTTAACTAGTTTTGTCCTGGCTGTCCCTCTGTCTCTCTCCATTTTCCGTCTGTCCCTATCTCACTCAGTCTTGCCTTCTGTCTCTCTCACTAGCTGTCTCTGGCAATTTCTCTGTTCCTATCTCTTTTGGTCTCTGTCCTCACCTTTGATGGTTTCTCTGTCCTTTGTATTCATCTCTGTCTATCTCTATCTCTAGAAGATCATTTTTCTCTCTGGCTAGCGTGTCTGCTTCCATTTCTACAGCTTGTTCTCTGCCTTTTTTTTTTTTCTGTCTTCCTATTTCTCTGTCTCCCTCCTTACTCCTGCCCATCCCCCAACCACCACACACATAACTGAGCCTGGTCCTCACTCTTTTCCCTGCCCTCTTGTATCCACAGTGACCCCAACCAGCCAGTGCCACAGGACACCAAGTTCATCCACACCAAACCCAACCGCTTTGAGGAGGTAGTATGGAGCAAGTTCAACAGCAAGGAGAAGCAGTATCTGCACATTGGCTTGAAGCCACGCGTGCGTGACAACTACCGCGCCAATAAGGTGGCCTTCTGGCTGGAGCTGGTGCCCCACTTGCACAACCTGCACACAGAGCTCTTTACCACCACCACGCGCCTGCCTCCTTATGCCACGCGCTGGCCACCTCGCCCACCTCCCGGTGCCCCAGGCACACGCCGACCTCCACCACCCGCTACCCTGCCACCTGAGCCCGAGCCTGAGCCAGGCCCCAGGGCCTATGACCGTTTCCCTGGGGACTCACGGGATTACTCCACGGAGCTCAGTGTCACTGTGGCTGTGGGTGCCTCCCTCCTCTTCCTCAACATCCTCGCATTCGCTGCCCTGTACTACAAGCGGGACCGGCGGCAGGAGCTGCGGTGCAGGAGGCTTAGTCCACCTGGTGGCTCGGGCTCTGGCGTACCCAGTGGGGGTCCCCTGCTCCCTGCTACTGGCCGTGAGCTGCCACCAGAAGAGGAGCTGGTGTCATTGCAGTTGAAGCGGGGTGGTGGCGTTGGGGCGGACCCTGCTGAGGCCCTACGCCCTGCCTGTCCACCCGACTATACCCTGGCCCTGCGCCGGGCACCGGACGATGTGCCTCTCTTGGCCCCCGGGGCCCTGACCCTGCTGCCCAGTGGGCTGGGGCCACCTCCACCGCCACCACCACCCTCCCTTCACCCTTTTGGGCCCTTCCCCCCACCTCCCCCTACTGCTACCAGCCACAACAACACGCTACCCCACCCTCACTCTACCACCCGGGTATAGGGGGCAGCTTGGGGAGGCCCTCCTCCCCAGCCCTCCGGCCCCGGTGAGAAGTGCTACTCCGAAGGTAGGGAGGAAGACTTGGCCACAGGCTTTTCTCTCCTGGAGTTGGGTTTTCCTCATATGGAGTCTTCACGCGGAGGAGCACTAAGGAGGACATGGGTTTCCTCACTGGGATAAATGTTTTGCCACGCAGAGAAGTCCATTCTCTTTCTCTGGACCTGGGCCTTTGGACAACTGGGGGGTGTTTGTTCCCCTCCATTGGGACACCAGCCTTCAGTGTGTGGAAACGAAGTAATTTTCCCGAGTAGAGGTATGCTTTCTCATGGGGGTGTGTTTTCCCATGTGCAGGGTGAGGTGTTTTTTTTTTTTGCCGCCCTGGACACATGTTGACCCCCTCAAGGAATTTCTGCAGGGGTTTGTACCCCCAAATCCTGTTCTCTCATGCCCTCCCCACCTCTTTCCACTTCCCACCCCCTGGAGACCCTGAAAGTAGTGTGTTCAAAAGCAGTGACCCTAGGACACCAGACAACACAGGGTGGTGCTGGGAAGTAGTATGAGGAAACCACAGAGGCCCTCTCCCCTCACCACCACATCTAATGAAGCATGTCTGTCCCCCATGGCACAAGTCAGAGCATGTTCTCCCAGGTGGGCCCAAGCCATCCATGGACAATGACGACAGACATAGATTTCCTACCAGGGGGAAGGGAGCAGATCCATGCCTCCCTGTGCTGCCTAGGAACTTGTTTTCCCGGGGAGTTCAGGACACATTTATCTCAGTGGACACATGTTCTTGCATGTGGATGCGTGTTTCCCATGCAGACAGCCCCTTTCTCCCTTGCACTCCCAGGCCTCAGTCCCTCTCCACATAGCAGGCAGGGACAGATTGAAAAGACAGGAGTTGAGGGGGATGTTCAAATCCTGAGGGAAGGGACAGATTCCCTTGCTCCCCCAGAGATGCTGAGTTGTGGGGGTGGGACATGCCACCCACAGGGGCCATGCATGTTTGACCAAAGCCCTTATCCAGGGTCTGAGGACAGCCTTTTCCCCAAGACCTCAGACCATTGCTCATCTGTGCCAAACTGGGAAGGTGGGTTTAGAGGGGGAAGACCTTTCCCCCAAATGTGTCAAGGATGCCCCAGTCCTGGACCAGAGCAGGGGAGCCAGTGGGGGGCAGGTAGAATGCAGGGAGGTGGGAGGTAGTTAAAAGAGCTCAGCCTGTGTCTCTTGTCTCATTCCCCTCTCTCTGCCTCAGTTTCCCATTCTCCTCCATCTCTGTCTCCCTCTTTGAATCTGTCTCCATATCAAACTAACCTCTTTCAGGTAAAGGAACAATGGAGGGGAGAGCTGGGGAGAAGGGTTTCACCAGGCAGGTTGGGGAGAGAATGAGGTCAGCTGTGCAAAGGAACTGATGAAAGGGGCTGGGGGGGGGGGGGCGGGGGACCCAACTTGGGCAGCCAATCAGCAGGCAGAATTTGAAAGGAAATGTGTGAAGTGATGCCCGGAGGGGATTTGAGGAGCAAGGGTTTGAGCCTCTGAGGTGTTAAAAAAAAAACCAATGTCTAGAAGAGTTTTAAAAAGCAAGCCAGTAGAGAAGAGAATCCTTGTCTATTGGCATTTGTGGGACATCAGTGCCAAACTTGAGTAGGGGGTGGGTGCTCTCCTCCACTGACACCCAAATCCAGAATCCCTGGTCTTGACTCCCCAGAACTTTGCTTCCCGACTATCCTTTCCCTCCCATCTTCACCCATGGAAACATTTCTTTTCTGACCCCTTTCCCCTGCCTGGTTCAGTTCCTTCTTGAACAGTCATGCGCTCCAAATGCTAGGGACCTGGGCCTTGAACCCTGTAGACAGATGCCCCCAGAATTGGGGTATGGGAGGGGGCTAGGGGACCCACGATTCAGCCACGGACTCCAATGCCCAGCCCCTCTCCCCAGAACAATTCCCTGACAATCCCATATCCCCCACCCCGACCCTTTATGGCTCTGTACACATTTTTAAACCTGGCAAAGATGAAGAGAATATTGTAAATATAAAAGTTTAACTGTTGTGCCTGCTGTGATGTTAGGAAGTGACGGGTGGTGACTTTGAAGAAACAAACCTTGAGGAGTGACTCAAGCTCAAGGGAGGGTAGGGGTCCAACCCCCAGTCGTCCTTTTCAGTGAATGCCTCTGAAGCCTCAGAGAAGGGGGAGTGGGTACTGGGGGGCATTGCCATTGTGATGGTATGTGAGGAGTTAGGACAGGACCTGATGTAGATAGAAGTACAGAGGAGAAGAGGGCTGGAGTTAACGGAGGCTGGTCTATGCAACTGAGTGAGAGGCTGTCAAAATGAGGGCTCCAACCTCTGCCAAAACGTGGATCCAGGCAAGAGGATAAACCATGGCCCCAGGACTCCAAGAGTAGACCCTTAGCACATTGTGAGGAGGATCCCCAAGCATCATTGTGACCCGCCTACTCCCAAGAGCCTCTGGGCCAAGTAGGTGAGCTGGTGTACAATGTGGGCACAGTAGGCTGGGGGGGTCTAGGGGCCCGGGTGGCTCTAGGGACCCCCATGGCCATAGTTGAACAGCCACAGCCTGGGTGGGCTTCTTATCACAACCCCCACACCAACAACTGCCAGGATCTGGGCAACTCCATCTTGTTGCTGTTGGGCCTCATCATCTGCATTAACATTGGCATCAACATGGTGACCCTGGTCAGGGTGGTGCCAGGTGGGAGGGCACTGGGGGGACAATTGGGGGGTAGGCCTTGTGGCAGGGCATGCCTGGGGTCATTGTGTCCTCCTCCACCTAGCTCTGGCACAGACTCCGTTACTTCTTACGCCAAGTGTTCCATATTATTTGTGTGAAAGGTAAGCAGGGATGGGGTTAGGGTGTAGGAAAGCAGGCAGTGGTCCCAGCACTAAGCTAGCCCCTTACCACTCTTCCCTGTCAGACACTACTGTTGTGCATTGTTCCTCCGTGTACCCTGCCTGACCACTGCCGTAGGAGTCCGAGCCTCCCTCCACTGGCCCCCCAATTCTCTCCCATCCACAGAAACTCCTAAATCATCCTCATCTGGGAAAAAGACCAGTAAGCCTTCAAGGAAGAAAAGCCCCCCTGCAGTCCACCTTCGATGTACCATGGACCCTGTGAAAGTGACTGTGACCCCCCCACCCACTCGCCGCCATCACAATCGAGACATTCCAATGTACCATGCCTACTGTCCGGTCAACTGGACCCCTGACACTGATGATGAGAAATCCCTGTATCAGCACCCAGAAATCTGCTCCCATAACTGGGATTGCCCTGAGGACTGGGAAGGCTTTCAATCTACCCAGGGGGTCTTGGATTCCTGGACCCAGAACACCATGGTGCCACCTACCCAGACCATCCGCTTCCAACAGAACCCAAGGGGAAAGCCTCTCAAAACAGAAATCCAGTCAGAGGTGGGCCTAGAGGCCTACGTGTACCCTGTCAATCCCCCACCTCCCAGCCATGAGGCCCTGAACCATAAGAACAATGGGGTGGAGGCAGAGGCCACTTCCTGCCCACCTGCCCCACCACCTGTCCTGGGCCCAGCGATAGTCCCTGACATTCCCCGGCGCCTCTCCTCAGGCCGCGTGACATATGATGCCCGTGATGTGAGGCGGCGGCTACGTGAGCTGACGAGGGAGATAGAGGCCCTGTCCCACTGTTACCCCCTGCCATCTAGGTCAAGCACTGCGGAAGGGACAGGCCAGGGCTGGGTCTACCACTCCCTAGCAGGGAGGTACCCTGGAAAAGAATAAAAGAGAAGTGAGGAGGTGGTTTGTGTTGGTGTGTGGGGGTTCCAGGCACACAGCACCCAGAAGCCGGGGTTGCTAAGGGAATGATCTCCCTGGCAACAGAGCCTACAGAGCCCTGAGGACCCTCATCAACCTCTTGCCCTTGACAGACCCTGCCCTCAGGTTTTTCCAAGGCTCCCACCTGCCTCCACCCTACTTGCTTTAGTACCCAGGAAAGCCCTCAGATCCCAGCCCAGATCCTCAGCCAGACCCGTACTTCAGGAGAGGACCCCATCCCCATGACCATAGTCCTCAGAGGTTTGGTCTCCATCAGAGTCCAGGTTTAGGCTGTAGTCACAGGTGAGGTGGGGATGCTCACTCCCTCTTTAAGGCCTGGTGTCTTTGAGGAGGGATGGGTTAGTGAAGATATGTAGAATCACACAGTTCACCAGTCAGGACCTGAAGCTCCTATACTCTCAACCAGGCTTAACGTAAAGATGAAATCGGGGACTCTCTTAAGGGCTGTCTCACTATATCACTGACTCTGTGTCCTCATTCCTTTGATTAACAACCCCATATTACAAATGAGATTTAGGCTCAGAGAGGTCAAGTGACTTGCTCAGGATCACACATACATCAAGGATCAAGCTTATGGCCTCAGATGCTCCATATCCTTATTCCTGCAGGTGGATTCCCATTACCAGCCTGGTCCACCTTCCTCAGTTCTCCTTGTGAACTTAATCAGAACATTCCATCCCACTGGATACCTGGAGAACCAAGGCCCGGCCCGGCCCTACTCCTAGTTCTCCCAGACCCTATGAGCGTGTGTGCACAATATATACACCTACAGAGAAACAAGGAGCCACATGAATGGATAGAAGCTAAAGGAGTGTGACTTCACCTTACATACCAGATGGATTTCTGGAAGGTGACAGACCTTTTATGAATCACTCTGCTTCTCTGTTGGTTTACAGTCAAGTAACATTTTAAATCAATTTAAGCTCATCTGGTGGATATGTATTGAGCACCTACTATATGCTTGGAAACTTGATGGGCAATGCTTACTGTCATTCCCTATTTCTGGTGAGTAGGTCATTGTGTAAAATGACCAAGAGCCTTGTAGATCGTAGTGATGAATCTGGTATAAATCAAAGAATCCTTTTGTCATCTCCATTAATATCTATCCTGCACTTTGTTCCATATTATTCTAAAGTGGCTGCAAACAGTTTTTGGAGGAGGTAGATCAGCAGGGTGGGAAGGAATGAAACCATGGTTGTAAGTGGTCCCTGAAACCTCAATCTGTCTTGTTCTAAAGTTGAGGAGCAAATGGGCTTAGTGACCACTAGTAGTGGAACTTCCAATCCCGAACTGGGCAGGGGTGGGTGTTGAAGGGATTGTGGCAGGGAAATGGGCAGGGCAGGAAGAGAATGGTGTAGTGGCTTGACCCCAAAGTTGACTCTTGGCTATTACCCATCCATCCAGTCACCCTTGCTACTGGACCCAAGTTAAGGAACAGCCACGTCTGAAAAAAAAACAAACAAACAATGAAAGGAATTCTTTTTGCATGGTTCAACCTCTGGGAAGACTCTGTCTCATGAATGTAGCTACCATATTTATTCTGCACAGAAGTCAGGTGCAGGGTTAAGCACGCCCTCATGGAGACAGATGGACAGACTGAAATCAGGGACATCTGGGTACTAGGCTCCATCACATGGATGCCAAGGGTAGAGATAGCTGCAAAGGGACAACAGTAAATAAAAGAGCTGCCACCTCTGCATTATGACTCCTCTCAACTTGCCTCATTATGACCTGGCTCCCCACCAGCTGGTAGGGGTCCCCACGTCTTGTATGGGTGCAGTGTGGGCCGGGGCCGGTGGGGGGGGGCACAGCCCAGGTGGCCCTAGGACCCCCCCACCATGGAAGACCAGCTCTGGAATGATGTCTTAGGGTGTTGTAATCCACACCAAGAAAGCCCCCAGGACACTAAGGACTTCCTCCTCCTGCTGCTGGGCCTCATCCTTCTTGTCAACACTGGAATCAACATGGCAGTTGTGGTGAGTAATGGAGATATATGCTCATGGTGAAGACGTCTGAAGGTGGGAGCCAGCTGCAGTCTGTACCTCTCACTGTAGGAATAGTCTTGGCTGGTAGAGGGGCAGGTGCTTGGGGTGGAGAGCCCAGACTTCACTCTCACCCGACCCTATCCCCAGATGTGGCAGAGGCTCCAGAATGCCTTAAACAAGATGACCTGTTGGATTAATCAGAAAAGTAAGTATAACAGCTGGAGAGGCAGAAGACCTCCAACCACATCCCTAGAAACCCAGGTCCTAGTGCTCCCAACCCTGACCTCATGGACTCTTACCTTCCCCAGATGACACCATCCAGTCTGGTCAAAACTCTCCCAAAGATCCAATGCAGGACCCAGCCAGGGATGTCCACATTTACTGCACCCTGGACCCTGTTGAGGTGAAAATGGCCCAATCCACACACTGCTCTTCTTCCTACCATCTTCGCAACCACAACCCTCGCCACCATCGCCATGGCCGCCACCGCCACCATCAATACGGCTGCAACCACCAGCAGAGGTCAGAGAACCACAGACAATTCCGCCAGGGTCACCTACTCTACCGTGGTCATCGAAGCCACAAGATGTCACATCTGCGACCAATACCTTCTTTGAATCCAGAAGACCAGGATTCCCATCTGGAGGATGAGGACGACCTCTCTTTCCCACATTCCAAATACCCACAAGGGGTCTGGGGAGGATACTATCAGAGGTTGGGCCTGCCCTCCAACCTGGGACTATGGGGCCGCCAGCGAGGCATCCTGACCAGCCTGCCCCCACCCTCTCTGTACATTTCCCCTGAGCTGTGCCACATACCCAAGCGTGTGGAAGCCAAGTCAGAGCTGAGGCTGCAGGCCTATGGCCCCCACCGCTCACAATCCCACATTTGGGGCAACGTGGAGGCTGAACACAGGACTTCATCTTTACAACCTTCCCGCCGACCACCCCCTTCCTGGGCCCCAAGGGGACATAGCCGGCACCCCTCTCGCGGCCACCTGTTGTATGACTCCTGGGAGCAGCGGCGACGTGAACTAGAGTGCTCTGAGTCTCCACCTGCCCTAGTATCCCAGAACTCCACCAGGCCTGAAGCCCAGGGCTATAGGGATCACTATTTCCCACAGTCCCACCAGCGAGGCTTTCCTAGCCATGTTTACAGCCAGCCCAACCGCAGCCCTCACCCATCCACAGGACACTTGACTTATAACTCAAGGGATCCTCACGAGGTTCGGCGCCGGATGGCTGAATGGAGTGAGACTCTGCCCACTAGGCATGCTCTGACCACCTCCACCTCCCTCACCATGTTGGGTGAGGCCTTATACCAACATGGCCCAGCTCCTGGCTCAACTCTGTTCCACCGTTCCTCCCAGCCCCTTCCTGTGGTTCAGGTTGCTGAGCCCACCCCAGCTCCGGTCACCTTCATCCCACTCAGCAGGAACCCAGGGGGCAATGCCAACTACCAGGTGTACGACAGCCTAGAGCTGAAGCGGCAAGTGCAAGAGAGCCGAATGCAGTCGACTTCATTACCACCACCTTCCACTTCGCCCTCAAGACCCTCTCTGCACAGAAGCCGGGCTGGGAAACTTAGCTGACTTAACAGGCAGGTGGCAAGGTATGACATGAAGAGAGGAATAAAGAGAAACAGAGTCCAGGAAGCACTGTAGTGGTCTATGGTTTGGAAGTGACAATCCTACAAGACTCTGCCCCTGCCCTTGGCTTTCTAAAATTAGAAGCTAGTGTCCCCCTTCTTGGTGTGAGGCTCCCCATGGTCTAATCAGCAGGCCCCTCCTGGGTCTACACCATGCACTACAGATCTTGCAGCTGCAGATTTCAAACCACTACTGTCTAGATACTGATATTCACCCCATCTGTCTTAGCTCACCCTGTCCTAAAGGGGTTTGAAAACTCAGCCCCATACAAACAGCAGAGGACAGATTCCAGCCCTGGGAATTCGAGTCTGGGCAAATGCAGGCTCACTATATAGGGTTGAGAGAAAGACTGGCTCAGGATCCCAGTCAGGCCTACACCAGGCCCCAAAGCCAGGTCTTTCCAGTTTTAAGAGTGGACAAGGGATAAAGGGGGGCTCAGAAATCCTAGCTAAAACCACAGAAATGACAGAATGAGAAACTCTGTCAATGAGGGAGTCTGTGGACAGTGAGGAAATGACTGACAGAGGGAGAAAGAAGAGGTGTGCTGGGCAGGTCTTGTCTGACTTTCCAGGTTCCAGTCACCCAAGCCCAGTTACATGGGAACTCCAACCTGGGCCTTCCACTTCCTCCCCTCCCTCATTGTGACTCCACTGCCTGCTCCATTGTGACCCAGCCCCTCTCCCCCAGAGGAATCTGGCTCCTAGTATGTGTGGGGGGCCCAGGGTCCCAGGCAGCCCTGGGACCCCTGGCCATGGGTGAGAGAACCTACCATGGAGCTCAAGTGTGTTCTGGCACCAACCCCAGGAAATGCCAGGACTTAGGAGACTCAATAATTCTGCTTCTGGGCGGCTTCATCTTGCTCAACGTGGGGATCAATGTGGTGACTCTGGTCAGGGCAGGGTCTGAGCATCAGGGTGGGGGAACACTGGCATCTCATAGAGGCTGAGGTGGGCGGGCTTTTGGGGTAAGACCACACAAGGGTTGGCCTTCTAGACTCACCCCTCCCCTACTTCCCTTAGCTCTGGAGACATCTGAAGCCCTCCTTGCGGATACTTTTCCATCATTTTTTCCCCAAAGGTGAGTGAGCCTAGGTATGTGGGATGTGGACTACTCTCCTTCCCCTATCCCTGCTCCCATCCTCAGTCCCTCAGGGACCCAGGCTTTGTCCCATCCCACTTTTCCCTGCAGACAAGCAATCCAGCTCTACAGGCAGCCATCCTGTGTGTATGCACTACTCTGTGGAACCCAAAAAACTGTGCTCAAGAGTCTCTTCCCACTTTCATCATCGCCCCAACTTCCTGCTTGGGCACTCTAGTCACCTTGACTCCTGGATAGCAGACACAAATGATGAGAAGGCTTCTAACTGCTGCTGGATGCCGCCTCAATGTGGACATATGGAGGGCCCCCCAAAGCCTCAATGGAGACCATGGAAAGAGGGGATGAGGGAAGCTGGGGAGGCCCCTCAGGTCACAGCTTTGAAGACCCAAGCCTCCTTTTTCTCCAGGCCAGAAACTTCTATCCAGGTCAATTCTCCCATGGCCAACTTCAAGGCTCAAAACCTAAAGATGAGCAAGTTGGACATGGTTCCATTACACTTGTCCCAAGAGAGCAAGATTAACATCCCAGCTCAATCTTTGTCCAAGTCTCTAGCCCAGAACCCTGTGCACATCTCAGACCATGTCCCAGCCCACAATCGGAGCCACTCCCCAGCCCCTGAGCACACCCCAGCTCGTACCCGGGCCCACACTCACTTCCAGGATCCAGGTCCTCAGCACACATCAGCATATGCACCAGGCCACACCTCTGTCCAAGTCCGGACTCACTTGAAGGCTCATGCTCGTGATCATACTCCAACCCATGCCCTATCTCACACCCCACTCCATGAACAGACCCACTCCCAAATCCATGCCCCTGAGCACACCTCAACCCCTACCCCAGCCCACACCCACACCGACACCTCTGAACACACTTCAACCCATGCCTACACCCCTGAGCACACTTTAACTGAGGCCCCAACCCATACCCCGCTCCATGCTCAGACCCAGTCCCAGGCTCACACACCTGAGCCCACCTCAACCCATACCCACACCCCTGAGCACACACTAACTGAGGCCCCAACCCATACCCCACTCCATGCTCAGATCCAGTCCCAGACTCACACCCATGCCCACACCCCTGAGCACACTCCAACCCAGGACTCAATCCACACCCCGCTCCATGCTCAGACCTACTCCCAGACTCACACTCCTGAGCCAACCTCGACCCAAGCCCACACCCCTGAGCACACTCCAACCCAGGACTCAACTCACACCCCGATCCATGTTCAAACTCAGTCCCAGACTCACAACCATGGCCACACCCCTGAGCACACTCCAACTGAGACCCCAACCCACACCCTGCTCCATGCTCAGACCCACACTCAAACTCACACCCCTGAGCCCACCTCAACTCAAGCCCACAACCCTGAACACACCTCAGCCCTTAACCACACCCCTGATCATACTCCAACCCAGGATCCAACCTACAAGGCACTCTACTACACTCAGACCCACGCCCAAACCCATGCTCCTGAGCATACCTCAACTCTTGACCCAACTTACACCATGGCCCATGTTCATCTAACCCATACCTATTCCCCAGCTCCTGCCCCAACCTCTGCCCCAGTTCCTCCCCCAACTTCTACCTCAGCCAGTACTCTTACTCCAGCCCCTACCCAAGCCTCTGTCCCAACCCCTGCCTCATCATTGGCCATGGCCCTGACCTCTGTCCTCGATGGTACCCCTATTCCTGTCTCTGTCCCCATCACTCCCCATGTCCTAACCCCTATTCCTTCTAACCTGGCTGCCTTCAGCCATGGCCTCTCCACTGGCCACGTGGTCTATGATGCCGGCAGGACAAAGCAGAATGTCTTCCATCCTCACATTCTCAAGAACTCTCAGTATTTTACAAATGACTTGGGTACCCTCTCCAGGCCTCAAGATGGGCAGGGCCTGGTGAGCACTGGTACATCTGAGCAAACATCAAAACAACTCAGTGGGGATAGTGCCAAGCCTCCTGCAGGGTCCGTACTAGGCTACTTGGAGCTGGGGAATATGGAGTTGAAGATCCCAGATGACAGTAAAGACAACTTCTTCCAGTCCAAGACCTTACCTTACTGTAGTTTCCATCCCTGTAGTTCTGAGAGGAAGAACACAGACTCCCAGACTCCAGTTCACCCCAAGTTCCTGGTCTACTCCCAAGATGCTATACCTCCTCAGCTTTGCTTTCATTCTGCAAGCACTGCCCAGAGCTCACCGAACACCGTCCTTCCACCATACACTCTTTCTCTGCCTCTTATTCCTCCCAAATCATTTGTCTTTTCGGAACATACCAACCATCAGAAACCTTCAGCCTCAATACAAACTCCCACCTCTCTACCAACCTGCAAGTCCCCTCAGTCCATTCCTCCTTCCCAATTCCCCATCTCTTCCCAGTTCACTACTTTCCAATCCTTGATTCAACCCCAATCCTCTGAACTTCACAAGCATCTAGGCCTTACTCAAGATCATGGCCTCCAAAGAAACCCATGTCCTTCAAAAGATGCTAAGATTCATAGGAACCCAGGCCTTACCCAAGATCCAGACCTCCACAAGAACCTGGGTCTTACCCAAGATCCAGGCATTCACAAGAACCTGGGTCTTACCCAAGATCCAGGCCTCCATAAGCATCCAGATCTCCATAAGAGTCCAATTTATTCCCAGGACTCTGGCCATCACAAGAGTCCAGGCATTATCCAAGATTCTGACTCTCAAAAGAGTCCTACACAAGATACTTGTGTCTGTAGGGGCCCATATATCACCCAATCCTCTGAATTCCCTAAGAGTACAATGTACACCGAAAATTCTGGCTTTCAGAGGACTTCGGACTTTATGGAAGACTCTGGGGTCTATAAGAATCGAAACCAAGAGACTGTAATCTACAAAAGTCAAGGCCTCCATCATGCAGCTGGCAACCATAAGAACCTAGGTCCTTCACAAGATTCTGTAGGCTATAAAAATTCAGGCATTGCCCAAGATTTAGGAGTCTATAGAAGTCCAGACCTAACCCAGGAATGTGGTCTTCATAAAAGCTTAGGCTTTACCCAAACCTCCGGCTCTCCTAAAGGCTCAAGTCTTACCCAAGACTCAGGAGACTATAAGAACGCAGGTCTTACTGAAGATTCTGGAGCCCAAAGGAACCCAGGTCTTATTCGAGATTCCAACCTCTATAAGAGTCCAGATGTTACTCAAACTACTGAAGTCAAAAAGAAGACTGGCCTTACACAAGATGTTGGATTATACAGGAACCCAGACCCTATCCTCCACAAGTGCTCAAGAATTAATAAAGATCTTGGAATCCATGAGGACTTAGACCTTACCCAAGACTTTGGTTTCCCCAAGATTCCTAGTCTTACTCAGAAATCTGTCCTCCACAAGAACTCATGCCTTAGTCAAGATCCTGGCCTCTACAAGAGCTCAGGCCTTGCTGTAGGTACTGACTGTGTTCCCGTTTTAGGCACTTCTAAAACCTCCAAGTCAACACTATCCCTGGTAAAACCAGTTGTATCCAAGGAGGCTCCCCAGAGGGATGACACAGAACAGCATACACCTCAGACTTCTTTTCCACTCAAGCAGAACCCCAGCTCTTCCAAGACCCAGAAAATTTGCAAAGATCTACAAACCTTCTCAGAGGTACCTGTACTAATAGAGCTACAGTCATCCTCCCGGCGGGCAGGCAGCCAAGACTGGGTATGCCACCCTACGGACACAGTTCCTCCAGCCTGCCAGAATTATAGCCAGATGTCTGTGCCCCCCCAGATCAACTGGAAGGTCCACTACCATGGACCAGGCCCCCGGGCAGGGCATGTGATCTTTGATGCCCGTCAGAGACAGTCAAGAGTGGGCAAGGACAAGTGTGAAGCTCTATCTCCCAGGCGCTTTCACCAAGAGACACCCAGCAACTTACGGGAGAACACCAAGGGGTGGGGATATCAGTACATAATGAAGACCTTGGAAAAACAGGGGACAAAGGTACATCAGGAATGAAGAGGCAAGAGAAGTGTTCTGTGGTTATTTGAGGACATCCATCACTCACAGGATGACACTGGTCACCGACAGGGTCTGATGAGGACTGAAACTATCCCTGCTCCTGTTCTATAGCTTCATAGCTAAACCCATTACCCTCAAGGTCCTAGAGCAGCATTTTCCAATCCAATAGCAACTATACAAATGTGGCTAATAAATTTGAAATTAAAAATAAGTAAAATTAATTTCTGTTCCTTAGTCACATTATACAAATTCTCAGTAGCCACATATGGCTAGTATTTACTATACCAAACAGCACAGATTTAGGACATTTCTACATAGGCAGCAGTGCTTTAGAGTTCTAGAGTTTACATACATTCTTTTCCCTTTCCATCTACCATCAGTATGTTCAAAAACTGCTACAGAGTTCAGAGAACTTAGTTCCTCTTAGGCTAGCTCAGAGTCCGTCCTATTGGAGGACACTTCCAATATGTAGGGATACCTGATGCCTGATGACCCCAGACCAAGAGAAAGAACCCAGTCCTTAGTTCTTCTGACCTGGCCTCAGGTCATAACCAAATCCTCCCCACCTGCACCAAGTTTATTCTCACTCATGGTAACCCCAAGGATGTCAGAGTAAAATTGTGCTCCATAGACTTTTTATGAATATGACCTTTTAGAAGCAGATTGCTAGATCTTTCTTCCAAGGTGTCTCTGGGTGGGTTTGAACCGCCTATCTTTTGTTTAGTAGTTAAGTGCTTAACCATTGTATCATCCAGAGACTCCAGATGTCACAACCAGATGTATGGAAACCTGCCTTCCCAATTCTGTCTTGGTTGTTGAGAGGAAGGGGCTCACTTTGTGAGCCGGAGGAATCTGAGGCCTGGAATCATCTAATTGAGCCCTGGATTCTGAGAGTACCCCCTTCTGCAGGCCTCTAATTTTTCTAGGTGTCTTTGCTGAATTATCTGGTCCACAGACTTAAGCTGTCTCCTACTCAGGAGACAGTCCCAAGGTAGAGGGAATGTATGAAGTCCTGGCTCATCGGTGAATTGGTCTGATGTGTGAACCTGTTTCTGGTTTCCTATCTTTCTGCTCCATTATACTGTCTCTAGGTCACATCATGAAGTCCTAACGTGGTGCTGTAGGATAAGCATTGGGAGTGCTAATTGCAAGGTTAGTGGTTCAAGCTCACCAGCCTCTCCTTGGAAACCTCACTATGAGTCAGAACTGACTTAACAACAACAGGCCACACTGTGGATTTTAAAATGTGTCCTGGTCCCTGACAGCATAAATTACCGAGAGCAATTTTCTGCCCTTGATAAAGTCTTCCATTGCCTTACCCCAGTCCAGCTAGGAGTTTCCTCTGGATTGGATTTCCATTTCCTTTGCCATCTGTCATGCATATCTGTAAGGAGTCACTGGTCACTAATACATCTCTCTCTTCCCTGGGTCAGCATTCATTCTTGAGTCACTTCCTGTGTGTTTCTGCTTAACACTTCTATCACTAATTCAAGGAGATGGCTGCTCACTTAGCCAGGAAGCCTCTTTCCAACATCTTCCTGGTTCAGTTCTATGACACTGGATAAGTCATGAGCAACCTTTTTAGGCTGAAGTTTCCTTGCCTCAGAAATGAAATAATCATAATTGCAAGGAAGAACCCTTCCAGATTTGACCAGGGCTCCTCTACTCACACATGGGACCCAAGAGACTCTTTCTCCCCAAGCTCTAGGGTGCATCTTCCATTATTGTTTGCTATTCAGCTCCATCCTCTTACCTCTCTGCCCCAACCCCAATGAATGCTTACATGGGGGTTGACCTGGGCTTGTAAAGACTCAGAAGAGTCTATCTCCATAGAAACTACGACTTCCATCAGGCACTGCTGCAGCAGAAGAGAAAAGGATGTGGAGAAGTGGTTCCTAAGCTCTGGTAGCTCCGGAGATAAACTACAACTCCCAGGACAGCCCGAGAATTCAGAGAGCGGAAAGGAATGACTGCACTCTGACCAGAGGGGCGTGATCGTAGTTTAGGGGTGTGGCCAGGTGGGCAAGAGGAAGTTACCTGTTGAATCGTTGAATCGCGCTATCCTTTCTCTCCCCCACCCTTGCTGCTACTCCTAAGAGGTAGACCATAAACCTATTCCGAGAAAACAGGTAAGAGGAGGTAGGCTAATAGAGTCACTAGTGGCGGCAGAGACCTGGCACTGCTTCCCGAAGGAGGTAGACAACACATACTTGCCACCTGCTGAGTCAGATGAGCCAGTCCACTGGGGCAGGGACCTGCATGAGAGAAAAGGGCAAAGACAGGTATCTATTTGTTCCTTTTGAAGACATTAAATTTACAGCCCTTCATCTGCAGTTGTGGATTGTGTCGAGGGCACTCACTTGGCCTTGGGAAGAGTGAGATCGAGAGCGATTTTTCAGCCACAAAGGAAAGTTCCGTCTAGGCTGCTCCCTCCCCAGCCCCATCCGTGTACTGCCTAGCCAAAATCCATAGAACCATATGTCTTCTGTGGTCTGGGGGAGTGCGCCCTGGTGGGGCCCTCCACCTCCAGCCCCAGCCCGGCCGCTCACGGACATTGACTTCTGCTCTGGAGCGCAACTTCAGGAACTGACCCAGCTGATCCAGGAGCTGGGAGTGCAGGAGAGCTGGAGTAACGGGCCCAAGTCGGGATCAGACCTTATCCAAGCCAAGGACTTTGTCTTCTCCTTGCTCAGTAAGTAACCTTCCTTGTCTTCAGGAACTCGTAGCTCTCAGCAGTGCCTCGGACGCTCATGTCCCGTTTTGGGACATACCCCATGAACCCTTCTCTTCCCTAGGTCTCATTCACCGCCGGGACCCTCGCTTTCCTCCCCAGGCAGAACTCTTGCTGCTTCGTGGTGGGATTCGCGAGGGTTCCCTGGACCTAGGGTCTGCACCCTTAGGTCCCTATGCTCGGGGACCTCACTACGACGCTGGCTTCACGCTCCTGATACCAGTGTTTTCGTTGGACAGCATTGGGCCAGAGCTGCAATTGGACCTGGAATCCTGTTACGCATGGCTCCACCTCCCAGAACTGGTGGGTGGAACTTTGGTCCAGGAGGCGTGGCGAGATTGCCTGGGACCTCCAGTCCCAGAAGTTTGTGATTGGAACCACGGAAACGAGAACAAAGGAAGTCCCAAGGATCAGTCAAGCTCCGCGGATCTACCGCATGATTACGTCACTAAGCCTGAGTCTCAGGTGCCTTTGGAAAAATCTCTTAGTGACGTTTCAGAGCTTGAGTCGCCTCAGCATGACGTAATCGATCCTGGTTTTCCGGCACCATTGAAGACACAGAGTGCTGACGTCACCAAGCCTGCCGTCCAAAGCCTGGACCAGAAGCCGTCTGAGGCGCGGAAGGTGTGGCCCACATTGTGTCCCGCCCAAGTGGCTGCCTGGTTCTTTGATTCCCTGGCAGCGGTCGCCAAGGCCCTGATCCCTGTCCCGGGTGCCCCGCGCCTGGTGCATGCAGCCCGCCATGCGGGGTTCACCACGGTCCTCCTGGCCACACCGGGTCCCCCGCGCCGCCTTCTGCTCTTCGACCTGATTCCGGTGGTATCTGTGGCCGGGTGGCCTGAAGGGGCTCGGAGCCACTCCTGGGCCGGTCCACTGGCCCCCAGGTCGGCCTCCTTCTACCTAGTGCCTGGAGGTGGCACAGAGAGACCCGGCACCTCCAGCTGGCAGCTCTGCTTTGCCCGCCAGGAGCTAGCGCTCAAAACGCGCATACCAGAGCCGCTGCTGCAGGCGCACGCTGCAGCCCAAGCCCTTCTGCGCCCGCTGGTGGCTGGGACCCGAGCTGCGGCGCCCTACCTGCTGAGGACATTGCTCTACTGGGCGTGCGAGCGACTGCCTGCTCTCTACCTGGCGAGGCCCGAGAACGCCGGCGCCTGCTGCCTTGGGTTGCTGGACGAGCTGGGCCGCGTGCTAGAGGCAGGGGCGCTGCCCCACTATTTTCTGAGTGGTCGGAAGCTCCAGGCAGGAGACAGTGCCACCACACTACTGGGTGCATTGACCCGGCTCCGAGGGGAGCCTGCCCAGGCCCTTCGCACTGCTGTGGAGGAGGCCAAGGCTGCACGAAAGGGGGGTGGTTTGGCCGGTGTGGGTAGTGGATCCCATTAAAGACAATGTTCTTTCCCTACTGTTAAAGTGCTACTTTTGGGGAGCGGAATGTGAAGGGGGTACTTCCCATGCCTCTCCTGGAGGACACATTGCCTCCTTTGCCCAAAGACCGGCATGCTAGAAGGCCTCGTCCCGTTCTTACATGTCCCCCACACACACCGATTTCTAGACAGTCCACTCCTAATTCTGTGCCTAGTGCAGTCTCCTACCCCACTACAGCCTGAGGCAACCATTTCCCCCCAGTTCTTTTAGTCTTTTCTCTTAGGAGTCACTAGAGATAGACTGTATTTGTTGACAAAACGCATAAAGGAAAAGAGTCTGCAGACCCCAGTACTAACCAATTTGGTTCACACAAAAGCAGAGAGATTACCAAGGATGGATTTTGCCCTAGGCTCAACCTCACCACTACCACCATCTCTCCAGTTGTTTCCCCTTTTTCCTTATACAGTTCTGTCCTCACTCCTCTGCAGTAGGATCCCCCTCTCCATTCTCAAGGCGTCAGCCATTTCATCTATCTTAGGTCCAATCTGTCCCCCCATCCAGAGTTCCCATCAGTGGACTCACTTCTCTATCCCTCCTCCTCTGAACCTCCATAAGTACAGTCCAGCCTCAGTTCCGGCCGTATTCCCCGCCTCCAAGGAACCCTGGGGTTCCGCCTGCCTAGTTTACTGCCTCCCCCAATTTCCTGGCGTCTCCGCCCCCTGCCCCGCCCCCGGGCCGGCTCTCGGAGGAGGGGGAGCTGCTGTCACCGCCACCGCCTCAGCTTCCCACAGCCGCTGCTGCTTCCGCTGCTTCGCCTGGTCCAGCCGCCTGGCCCAGTGTTCCGACATCACCGGACCAGGGCGCTCTGAGGAGACACTCCTTCCTTGGGGTTCAGGGCATCAATATGGGCACGGGGGGAAGCTCCGATAGCGAGGGACCCTGAGGGAGGAGCCTGGAGCTGGAGCGAGCGCCACCCGTCGCCGGATCAACAGGACAGGACAGGTTGAGGGGCGTCGGGGAAGGAACAGGGGGTGCTATAGGTAGTTACTGGGAGGACGAGGGAACCTGGTCGCAGGAAGCTCAGTCTGGTATGCTCACTAGTAGGGGGCCTGTTCACATTTAGGGACAAGTAACAACGTGGGTGCACTCCATTGGGGGGCTGATTGGATTGGAGGGCGTGGGATCTAAACAGCACCAGCTGTCCCCAAGGAAATTTAAGGGGCAACCAGGAAAAATCTTGACCCTCCTTACTTAGAGGTGACAGATGGCCCCCCAGACAGCCACCTGGTGTATCTACTAGGGTGTATTTGGAGGTGACTTCAAAAGGAGTGGAGGGTGACAAGGTGAGGAAAGGGGCTCATCAGCTTGAACCTTGGGCCATTAAAAATGGGGGTGACTTGGTGAAAAAAGGTATTGTCCAGCAAGATGGCCTAGGAACCCATTTTCACAGAACCCGAGGAGTCTGGAAATTCCAAGGCATAGGTTTGGGGGATTTCAGCGTTAAAAAGCGGGGGTCCTCTCCATTTAGGAGGTAGCAAAGGAAAAGGTACCAAGGTTGAGTTCCTCCCTGACATTGTAGCTCCCCTGTGGAGGTGGGGAGAGCTCAAAGTAAAGGGCTCACACCCTTTAGATTACAGGAGTGGATTTGGTAGGGGTGTAGGGCCCCAAAATAGGGTAGAAAGATGCCTGGAGATACTGGAATCGTATCTTGGAAATTTTGAGGGTCTTGAATTTAGGACGAGACAGACACTGGAGAGCAAGGAAAGGGTAGTTTTCCATAGGAGGCAAAATTCGAGGGTGGGATCAACTGAGGGGTCCGCAAACTGCGGGTTCGGTGGAGCAAGCACCGGGCCAAAGGCTCAGAGCTGGCGACTGAGGGACGGGAGGGTCTGAGACTTAGTCTCAGGTCCTGTGGGTGGGATGGTAAGTCGGGGCCAGAGTGGCAAGAGCATGCCTTGGTGAGCGGGTTTCTCCGGGGGAGCCCAGCGCACTCAGGGCGCCTGCTAGTTTGGGGGTTTCTACTCCCGGGGCGCTATGGCGGCGCTGGCCAGTAGCCTGATCCGGCAGAAGCGGGAGGTCCGCGAGCCCGGGAGCAGCCGGCCCGTGTCGGCGCAGCGGCGCGTGTGTCCCCGCGGCACCAAGTCCCTTTGCCAGAAGCAGCTCCTCATCCTGCTGTCCAAGGTGCGACTGTGCGGGGGGCGACCCGCGCGGCCAGCCCACGGCCCGGGTGAGTGCGGCCAGGTCTCTGGGCCAGGGGTGTCTCTGCTTAGGAGGTTGAGGCTGACTCTTTAGAGTACGGCCCAGATGAGGGGTCTCCCCGGTCGTGAAAGAAGGTGGGCCAGGATTTAAAAAGTCCCAGCTTGTCTAACTCTACCTCACTTTCCTTTTTCTTTTTTCCCCATAAACCTGGGTCTCCTAGCTTTTGAGGGCAAGGGGAAAGCTTGAGGGGTTAAGTCTGGCGCCCCAAACCTCCCCGCTCCAGTCCCCACCCTCTCCACCAAACACCGGAGTCCCCACCCCCACCTTCCTCCGCCTACGTGCGGTTTCTCGCGATTCTTTCAATCCAGAGTCTAGGGGGCTGGAGGGTTCCGAAGGCTAGGGTGACCCCGAGGGTTTCTGCGGCTCCGCTGCCCCGCCCCCGCCCTGGTTCTCCCGCTCCTCCACGCTTTGGCTGGGCTCCTTTTGGCCAAGGCTTGCCTGGCTTGGAGCCAATCTCCCCAGCTCTCCCCCGGGTGTCCTTGCAGCTACCTCTCCGGCCCGTCCCTCTGTGAGCCCTCCTCCTGTGACCTGCGTTTCAAGAAGGGAGCTGTGTACCCCCAATCCTCCCCCCACCCCCGAACTCCTCTCTGTGTGACTCTGAACCCTGGTCCCACAGGCTCAGGGGACCCTCTGCCCGGAGGAACTCAGACACCGTTGCAGAACTGGAAACGGGCACTGAAACTGGGAGGTGGTACCACCTCTAGGGGGGGACAGAGGAGGCGGTGGAAAGCAAACGACAGGGAGGAGAGTTGTAAGGGTTAGCGTGTGATCCCCATCCAGGTACGACAGGCAGGGAGTCCCTCTGGCCCAGTTCCCGTCAGCTCCCAGATCCCTTGGGGGCAGTCCCCCTCACTCCCTACTCTCTCTGGCACCTGCCTCCGCAGTGGTACAGTCTGCAGCCCACCCTCTGAGTGAGACCCGGTCCCCACGTGACTCCGCCTGTCTCTCCACCTCCGCGGTCGTCCCCCTTCCCCCATTTCCTGGGTACGGTGCCGAATGTCCCCCAATCCACGCGGGGTTACCTGACTGTTGGGGAGAGGGTGAACCTCAGGGAGGGCTGGGTCCTGTGAGCCAGCAGACTGACAGACAGACAGATGGGTCAGTGTCAGACAGGCCGGCTCTAGGCCAAGCTGAGGCTGGAGCCAAGCTAGCAGCAGTGCAGCAGCAGGTGCTGAGTCAGCGTCAGGCCCAGCCTCACCTCCTCTCCTGAGGGAGAGCCAACCCTGTGGTCGCCCTCTCGCCCCCCCACCCCATGTTTGGAAACACACCATCTCTTCAGCAGCAGTCCTGCCTATCTTCCTCCCCCTCTGCTTTTTGATATATCTCTTCCCTTCTTCTACCTCCTCTTCCCCTCCCCCCTTCTGGATGAGCTGTAGAGTAAGAATTAAGCTATTTAAATAAATCTTAATAAATTAAACGGAAAGCACTTGGTTAGAGGAAGCAGAAAGGACCCACATCCCAGCTTCCTTAGGAGTCAGAGGGCTTACAGAGTGCTTGCCTAGATGCTAAGAGAGCTGGGGCCCTGCCCCCCCTCCTTTCTTTCCTCAATACCTGTCTTATCCCCTTTGATGATCCCACCACGTGTAGGAATGTTTCCCCAGAACAGAGATGTCAATTTCAAAGATGAATGTCTCTTTCCCCAGAGCCTCAACTCAAAGGCATTGTCACCAAACTGTTCTGCCGCCAAGGTTTCTACCTCCAAGCTAATCCAGATGGGAGCATCCAGGGCACCCCAGAAGACACCAGTTCCTTCAGTGAGAAGGGGGAGTCATCTACTGGGAAAGGTGGTTGGGTGGGAGGAAGAGATGACAATCTTATTCCCTCTTCAGGTTCAGTTGCTTTGTCTGTCTCCTTGACCCCAAGGGAAGAAGTAAAGCCCTGGGTGAGAGTGGGAGTGGGGGCTCAGAAGGAGGTTTAAAAGCTTGAAGTGTTGGTGTCTGCTCTCTCCATCCCTAGCCCACTTCAACCTGATCCCGGTGGGACTCCGTGTGGTCACCATCCAGAGTTCCAAGCTGGGCTACTACATGGCCATGAACGCTGAGGGCCTTCTCTACAGCTCGGTGAGACACTGAGTGGCCTGGGGTACTGGGCCCCCCACCCCCCACCCCCGGCATCCAGCCTTCCTGAACTATAGGCATTCTGCAGCCCAGGACTCCCTGTAATTCCAGCTTTTACTGATGGTTTGTCATCACCTCCTCTAGAGAGTCCCTCCAATCCCTACTTCTCATGAAGCCCCACAAACACCCCTTAGATTCTTTGGATGGCTAACTCCTTCAGTCTTCTAGCGTCCATCCGTACTTTTGATTCTACCTCCTGGTGTGGCACTGTAGAATAAGCACTGGACTGTTAACTGAAAGGTTGGCAATTCAAACCCACCAGCAACTCCTTGGAAACCCTGTACAGGGTGCCTATACACGGTTGTTATGAGTTGGAACTGGCTGGATGGCATTTAACAACAAACCAGACTTAGTTATCACTCACTTCTCAGAGTCATTCAATATAGGAGATGGTGAAGGGAGAGGGGAGGGAAGAGACTTTTTTTTTTTTAATTCCAGGCTCCTGCAAGTCTAGCTCTTAGCTCTCAGAGGTCTATCAGTCTCCTCCTTGTCCTCTCTTTGCTTAGTTCCTGAATGGACTCAGAAGCTGGGCCCTTATGGAAGTGTGTGGATGACATTCCAGCGTATTCCTTCCAAGGGCTCCTTTCTGCTCAGTGATGTATCTGTCTGTCTCTGTCTGTGCCTATCTGGGTCTTTGTCTCCTCAGCCACATTTCACAGCTGAGTGTCGCTTTAAGGAGTGCGTCTTTGAGAATTACTATGTTTTGTACGCCTCTGCTCTCTACCGCCAGCGCCGTTCTGGCCGGGCCTGGTACCTAGGCCTGGACAAAGAGGGCCAGGTCATGAAGGGAAACCGAGTCAAGAAGACCAAGGCAGCTGCCCACTTTGTACCCAAGCTGCTGGAGGGTGGGTATGCCCTCAAGATAAAGGTGGGCCACATGGGAAGGTATTGACCTTGAAATGGACACTTAACTGACACACAGCTCAGGCTATATGTGTCAAGACGACCACTATTAAGACAGTCCAAGCCAGAATGGCTTTGGTCTTGGCAGGTCTGGGGAGATTTCTTCTTGTGGGTTGGGGTTCCCAGAGGGTGAGTGTAGGGGAAGGGAGCCCTCTTGCTCTACCTGGATTCCTCTGTGCCTAACTCTCACCTTCCTGCTCCTTTTTCTCCCCTTCACAGTGGCCATGTACCGGGAGCCTTCTCTCCACAGTGTCCCTGAGACCTCTCCTTCAAGTCCCCCTGCCCCATGAAATGTAGTCCCTGGACTGGAGGCTCCCTGCCCTCCCTGAATCAGCCACAGCCACCGCCTGTCTGCCAGCCCTGCTCCTGGCTCTGCTCTCACCCCTGCCTGCCGCACTCATGCCCTGAGCAGCCAGATTCCACCAGGTGCTCTTCCCTGGGGGAACCTAGGGGCTGGCTGTGACTTCTGGAGCTTCTGAGACCCTCAGAATCTTGAGCCCAGGAGGGAAGTACAGAGGGTCTGAAAATGGTACAGGACCGATTACTCTCTTCTTCCCTTCCCTTCCATGGTCACCGCCACCACCACCAAAAAAAAAAATCTCTTCCTGGGATGGCACTGTAGTTTCCAAAACAAACAGAGCCAGGGCATAAACATACTCTACGCAAGGCTCTGCCAGTTCTTGAAGTCCAATGCCCCTTTTTCATTGCCACTGAGACATAGACTTATAGATCCATTAGGGCTCAGGATTCTATCTTTTCCAACTCTACCTTCTGCCTTGGTCTGGACAGGTTCTAGAACAGGCTCCCCAGTCAGGGCCATTTCTGCACTCTGACTCTCTCTGTGCTGGAACCCAGGCATGCTGCCAAACTGTTCTGAATTCATCTAGCTTCTGTCCTTGACCCAAACAAACCCCTGGTTTCCAAGTAGAGGGAGTTTGGATTTGAGCTCTGCCCAGCTGTGGCCTTGGCCTGAACTGGGACCAGTCGCAGATCACTTCCTTATCCCAGAGGTGCCCAGTTCTAGAACATGGTGTTCTAGACGTTTGTGGAGCCAAACTTTCTCTTGAATCTCAGCTCTAGGACATAGACCACAACCCTCAGCCCTTCTCTCAGGATGGAACTGGGGTCTTTATAGCCATAACATTGCTCTAGAGTAAGTTCAAGATCTACCCTCCCATTTTGTCTGGTGATACCTATTAAGGCTGGGCTCTGGAAAGGACCCAGCTATGATTCATAAAGAATTAAGTTCTGGATGAACTAAGTATCACTTCTTATTTTTCATAGATAATTAAAAGCAAAACAAAAAGAAAAAACATTTAAAAATTTTTCCATATAGAATGCTAACTTTATTTTTAAATATAATTTCTAGCTCCTGGGACCCAGCTGGGGTCCTGCCTGGAGAAGAGAGTCTGGGAAGAGGCAGAGGTGTTTTGGCAGGATCCCTAGCTCATACTAGGGAAACTGGGATGGGATAGGGGCCCAAACCATAGCATGGTGGGACCTGTGCCTGAGTTTTGGGGGGACATGAACACTTAGCTACCTCAGCAGGAATTCCTTCAGGTCCGACTTTAGAGCTGAGATCTTTACAGTAATGGGTCTGGAATAAAAAGGACAAGTGGAATACAACCTTGATCTCTAGTGAAGAAACCTTACAGGAAGTTGAGGGAGCTTGGATTCTAGAGCTCACACACACACACCCCAGCTTCTAACTGAATAGAACTTGCTTTACCTTACAGCTTATAACCTCAGCTGGGTTTTAGGTACCCATTAAAGGGCCTGATCAGATATTTCTGGACAACACCGTGAGCTTAGGGCAGGCCTGTAAAAGGCCAGGTACTTGCCAGTGTTCTAGAATGCTTCAGACCTTAGGCTGGACAGACTGAGAAGCCCTGAGGGAGGTCTTGGGCAACGAAGCAGGTCACTTTTGCCTCAGGCTCTTTCTACTTCTGGCTTGTTGCTAGAGGGGTACATGCTGCCCACACCCACACAAACGCCGCTCAGGCTCTGCCCATCTCCTGGCTCCCCTCCCAGGGGACCGGGTTTCCACTCCACGCTTTCTCAATTAAAGACAATTTGTACAACAAAGTTGTGTTTGTTGTCTGAGTGGCAAGCACTAGCAGTTGCTCAGGGCGGGACCAAGTGCCGGAGGGCCCCCCACCCCCCGAGGCGGGGCGGATGGGCTGGCGGCTGCCCCCCAACAACAGGTGCACATTCCTGGGAGCCTCGTCACTTCCCCTGTTCTGGCGGGTGCGGGCAGCTCACCGAGCGAACTCTCCGAGCGACGTGGCCAGGCTATGACCCCGAGGGTGCTGCTGCCCCTGTTGTTGCTAGGGGCTCTGGAGGCGCGGCTCTTTCCGGGTAAGTCTGAGCCCCGAGAATGCAGTGATACATTCAGGGATCGTGGCTGGACAACCTGGCTTCACTTAGTCCTCTCCTTTCCCAGGCGCCTACGGCTCGGAGGCGGAGGGCCGGCTCCGCGACAAACTTTTCTCGGTCTATGACAGTTCGGTTCGCCCAGCGCGGGAGGTGGGAGACCGCGTACGGGTCAGCATTGGTCTCACCCTGGCGCAGCTAATAAGTCTGGTGAGGTCATGAGACCAGGATTGATGTCCGACTGTCCGACAGGCTGAGGGGGGTATGGCTTTGAGCTAGGCTGGACCGCTGGACAGACTAGGGGCGGGACCTGGGGTGAGGTCTGGCAGAAGATGGAAGAGCAGTGTAACGGAGATGGAATTGAAATTGGACCAATGCACAAGCTGCGGGCGTAGCTGCTGGTCAAACCTGGGATGGAGCTGGGTAGAATAGTGGACTAGCCTTGAAGTGAAGCTGGGGCGGGCCTTGAGGCGGGGTCAGATAACACTACAACAAGGCTGGGGAAGACCTTAGTGCCAGGCAGAGTTAATAAAAAACAGTAATAGGCGATTCCTGGACTGAATGAATTACAACTGTGGTCAAGGCCTGAGACGGAGCCAGTGTAGTGTGGTGGGCAAGGCCTAAATCAAAGCTAGTCGGAGGAATGGGCGGAGGTAGACTGAAGATGGACAGGCTAGGAGTGTGCCCAGCTGGAAAGGGTATTTCTGAGATAGAGGCGGGGCTTGGGTACAGAAAAAGGGGTGGGCTAGAGTTGCCAGATCGAAGCTGCCTGGGCAGAGTCCCTCCATATCTTCTCCTCCTCACACTTAACCTCTGCCCTTTAAATTTTTTCCTTTCTAGAACGAGAAAGATGAGGAGATGTACACAAAGGTGTACTTAGACCTGGTACGGACACCCCACAGGTTGGAAAGGACATCCACTGCCGTTGCAATTTCTTCGAATATCTAGCTCAGGAATTCTTTGTATATAACCATTTTGGAAAACACATTTACAACCGAAACAGAAACATCAGGAAAACAATGCCTAACTGTACTATGGGAGTTACATGCCATGCATTTTTCATTCTCAATTTTTTTTTTTTTTTTTAAGCACGGGTTTTGGGCCACTGATTTGATTCCCAGTCCTACTCAAAGAATCGTGAACTGTAGTTTAAAAAACAGTTTTAGAGGCTAGCTAGTGCAGTATATCTGTTTTCACAGACTGAAAAAAAAAATGGGGTTTGGTGCACGGAAGGGGAATTAGTGGCACTGTGGGTTAGGCGTTGGACTGCTAACAGCAAGGTCAGCAGTTCAAACCTACCAGCCTCTAGGAAGAAAGATGAAGTTATCTGCTCGCATAAAGATATACAGTTTTGGAAAAACTATATAGGGTCACTAAGAATCAGAATTAACTGATAGCAGTGGATTTGTTTTTTGGGGGGTGGGATTCCATGGGATCAGGCAGAGCTGAAGTCAGAACTCTGCCTCCTAACCTATAGCCCCTTCTCCACCCCCTGGGTTGCTCCTCTCCCTTGCAAGGACACTCCTCTGACTTTCCAGGAGCACCCCAAGTCTTCTCCTGGCTTCCAGCCCTAGATAGTCCCTCAACCTTTGCTTCCCTAGGAGTGGACTGACTACAGGCTGCGCTGGGACCCATCGGAGCACGACAGCATTGATTCACTTCCCATTGCTGCTGAATCTGTGTGGTTACCGGACGTCGTGCTGGTTAACAAGTAAGAGTCTTCCCAAAGCCTGGGAGGTGGGTGGAGTTTCCAGAGCCTGAGAGGTGGGCGGGGCCACCAAGGCAGGGTCTGATTTCCCACCAGAGATCCCTTCCCTACAGCAATGACGGGAATTTTGACGTCGCTTTGGATGTTAATGTCGTGATTTCCTCCGATGGCTCTGTGCGCTGGCAGCCTCCGGGTCTCTATCGCAGCAGCTGCAGCATCCAGGTCTCCAGGCTCTGCCTGGGAAGCTCAAAGCGTTTTTAGGAACCCTCCCTCGCCTGAGACCCTGACTCCTCAGCACCTCCTATCCCTCCTCTATTGTCCCTCATGACCCTCGTCTCTCTTTTACCCTCTTGATTTTCCATTGAGTTTCATCTTCTCTGTACACTTTAATTGGCCTTCCAGTCTTCCTCAGTGACACCCCATCCCTCGTTTTCCCAATGGCCTCAATTAATAATCTACCAATTCTCCTGTAACCTTACTTCCCTCTGATCTCCTCTGGTGACCCTTATCTTCCCAACACCCCGTTTTTCTGACCCCATCTGCTCTGTGACCTTGCCAATGACCTCCTGAACTACTACTCAGTCCCCACCAATTCTCTTGTAGCTCTAATGCCCCCTCCTCCTCTTGGACCAGGTCACCTATTTCCCCTTTGACTGGCAAAACTGCACCATGGTGTTCAGTTCCTATAGCTACGATGCCTCAGAGGTCAACCTATGGACAGGTCTGGGTCCTGATGGACAAGAGCGGCAGGAAATCCACATTCATGAAGGCACCTTCATTGGTGAGTGGGCATGACCCCCATGTCCTTGGGTTTTATAATTCCCAGCTTTTAACAGGCTGATAAATATACTGTGTATGTGATGCCCAGTATAACCTTGAGTGTTCAGCAAGCTAAATGTGACTACCTATATTTCACATATATGGAGATTGGGCTTGTCCAAGGTCATTAGAAATTACCTGCTCACCCCAGTGTCCACAGCTAGCCTTTTATGATATCAGCTCCTATAGGACTAGGATATGGAAGAGCAGGCCATATTTGACACTGACCAGGATAGCTCCCATACTTGTGTCCCATTCTTCTGCTCTCTTTCTCAGAGAATGGCCAATGGGAGATTATTCATAAACCCTCTAGGCTTGTTCAACCTCTAGGGAATCCTAGGGGAGGAGGGGAAGGACAGCGTGAGGACATCACCTTCTATCTCATCATACGTCGGAAGCCTCTCTTCTACCTGGTCAACGTCATTGCCCCATGCATCCTCATCACTCTCTTGGCCATCTTTGTTTTCTATTTGCCTCCAGATGCAGGTAAGAGCATATGGTCGTCTAGCCCTCCTTCCCACCAGTAATTCAGCTCCTTCCTCTTCACTGTAATCCAGACAGGGTTTTCTTGCCAATTATGCCATCACAGTGGTGCTCCGAGAATCCCACCCAGGTTTTCCTTTCAATGAGAGGAAAACCTTGTAGACCCAGGTTTTCCACAACAAGTGAGCCCAACCACAGGCTCTGCCTCCTCTCTGCTGCCCCTTTCTCTCTAATTCAAGTGGTGGGACATTTGAATTCTTTCTTTCAGAGCCTTAGGCTCTCATCTGTGGAACCTCCTCTCCTCTGACCAACGAACTCACAAGCTTAAACAATTCCCATCCTTGTTTTTTTTCCCCATTCCCAGCATCCTCTTCCCCCACTTTTCAGATTCCCACTTAACCTCCCAGGGAAATATTAGCCAACATTTGTTTATGAAGGAGCATTATATAGTAACAGGGAAATTTCTGTTTCTCAATTTTCTCATCTGGAAATAGGGACAATTATTGCATAGCATTATTTTTTGTGGTTGTTAAGTTCCATCATGTCAGTTCTGACTCATATCAACCTATGTAGGGTTTCTGAGGAGTGGCTGGTGCACTTGAACTTGTGACCTTGTGGTTAGCAGTCCAGTGCTTATCCTACAGTACAACATCAGAACTCTGCCTAGAGTTACGGTGAAGATTAATTAACTGCCTGGTATACTCGGTCAACTCCATAAAGTATAAAGTGTTGATATTATTTGTACTATCATTGAGCGCTCGCTATGCTGTAAGCAACCCTGGTGACACTGGTTTAGCTCTTTGGACTGCTAACTGTAAGATTGCTGGTTCAAACCCACCAATTGCTGTATAGGAGAAAGATAAGGCTGCGTAGTGGTTACGAATCGGGCTGTGAACCGCAAGGTCAGCAGTTCAAAACTACCAGCTGTTCCATGGGAGAAAGATAAGGCGTTCTGCTCCTGTAAAGATTTACAGCCTCGGAA